TTGGACGAAATGTGTAAACTTCTTGCAAACTTGATGTCTCTTCTGAGGGTATCAGCTTGCTACAAAAAATAATTTAAATCTAAAAAACCGAATTTTAAATTTAAGAGAGTCAATTATGATTTTTTCCAAATGTCTGTAAGTAGATAGTTGCTGATGCAGAGTGAATAATTGTTCTACGCTTTTTTGAAAACCCATTTGTTTCGAAAGTTCGCAAAGACATCTTCGATTTATAACAGGTACTGAATGTTCGCTATTTAAAGCTTGGCAGGTTATGTGGTTACAAAACTGGTAGAAATGTTCCTGAGTCATTTGATTGCAAGTGTTTAATAGTATAGATAGACCTAAAAAAAATTAGAGCTATATATAAGTCTAGCTGACCCGGCAAACGTTGTTTTGCTAAGTAAGGTATACACCTAAGTCTGTTTTTACACGGTAGATTGGTTCCAGAAGAAGCCGTGTAAAAAAAAAACGTGTAAAAAAAGACATTGATCTTATACAAAAATGGGTGATTTGTTCCTAATCTCTAAAACCTATTAAAATTAGTGAAAAACAAGAATTTTTAAGAACAAGAATTCATGATTATTTTAGTTAGTGCTATTCACATTTGCCTTGACCAGTAAAAATTGTTTGTACTCCCTAAAGGGGAATTCACTTAAATCATTAAGCTAGTGTTCGCAAACTATCGATACTATCGATGGTTTCAGACTTTTTTCTTTCATAAATACTTTTTTGTGATATGAACATACTTCGCAAAAATTAAATTTGACAAAGAAAATTTAAGTACATAAAATTTCAAATCGTGCTAAATGGAATAAAATCGTGTAAACAAATTAAAAATATTCAAATTTCAAACCGTGTTATATCAAAACCGTGTACAAAAAGACCGTGTAAAAACAGACTTAGGTGTATTCTAAACAATTTCTAGAGAATTTCTAGAAAATATTTAATACTTTAAGTGTATAAGAAGGATGTGTTGTTTGAATGCTATATACAATGAGGTATTATCAAAACAATAAACCGCATTAGTTTGTCTATATTTTGTCAATACTATCAAATCAAAAATATAAACTATATTGTGAAAACCAAAACAATTTTATCACAACAAACAACACATTTCAAACGAACAATTATCTGACAACGTTCAGTAAAACTGCCAGCTACTTCATCATTGTAGAAATGTGCTTTTTTGATGTCTTTCAAAAATTTGTCATAAGCGCAATACTTGACGCAGATGCTATAGCATTCACGATTTAAATATGATAATATGAAACTTTTAAAGGGCGCCAACTTTTTCCTTTTTCCATAGTTGCGTAAAATGGCGCAATATTTGTCGTGGATGCTATAGCATTCATCTAGTATATAACGATCAAAATACGATAAATACGACTACTCAAACTCTTATTGGGCGCGAACGTGTTAACGTGCAAGATTACTCTTCAGCTAAAACTGCATCAATTTCCATAGTCAATAATTTGACGTAGATGCTATAGCATTCATCTAGTAAAACCATTAAAATATGATTTATGATTTAGAACTTTTTACCCCTTAGACGGGGTAACTTGGAGCGGCCAGATGGCAAACAGGTTTAATGTCTTATTTTAATTTTAAAGGTATTTTATAAAATAATTATATTTTTAACTAATGCTAAAAAACTACCAACGGAAGAAAATATTTTTATTGTGGATTTTCAAATATAACCGAGTTTATCTCCCGATAGCAAAGTCATAAGAATCAAGGCTGTAGCTGGTTATTCATCTGTTTCCCTCTACTTTCAAATATTGTTGTTAAACAATGCTTAACTTTACTGGTTTTTGACACATCGGTGGTGGACCTTTTTAACCCCGGACCATCATATATTACTATCTATTTTTCGATAATTTTTGGGAAATTATAACTGAGAAAATGTTATTTGACAAAATGTCCCTATGATAGATTTCAAATTTAGGTTCTGAATTTAAATAACATAAATAAAAATAATATAACTCAGAAAATGTTTTATAAATACCAATAATTATACAAATGAGATCTTTCAGAGCACCGTGTTTGAGAAAAATATGCCAAAAAGTGCATTTTCATATTAACATTTCAAAAAAGTTGATATTTTGAGTTACTAGTAACACTTGCGCGGCCCCATTTGCAAACGTTTTTGTATATAAATAAAACTACAAACAAAACTACTTACTACAATTTAATCATAATTAAATAATATTCACGTAAAACATCCTATTAAACGTAATTGAACATCATCTGTCAAAAACGTTTGACATTTGACGTATTAGCCACCGCCCATCGTTTTATTCAAATTATGCTTCTACAAAAATCTTCAAATTAAAAATGTAAAGTTTCTACGCGATTTTGAAATAATCGCGTATAATATCTCACCTTTCCGACAACCTGCTAATTAGCACGAATTTTTCAAAACTAAAACTGGCCAAATCGGTTTAGCCGTTTTCGAATTTTAGCGGATCATTTGATCGAGAGCTCCATTTTTATATATAAGAAGATATATATATATATATATATATATATATATATATAATAGTATATATATATATATATATATATATATATTTATTTACCTAACGGTTTCAAAGAATTAATATGCTGGTTCCAAGACTGATCGTCAAATTGCAATTTAAAAGGACTAGTCCGATCATGAGTTATATCCAAAACTTCAGGTACAGATATAGGAGTAGGTTTAGACAAATGTGCGGCTGTAGCAATTAATTTTTTATCTTTGGTATCCAGTTCAGTATCCTTAGAAATAAGACTAGACTTACTGCAAAACCAAAAACACCACATAGTAAAGGAAACATGTAATTAAAGCCAATGTTATGGCAAGGCCATGTTACGCTCCAACTTGCATACATTAGTCTACTCAATCATACTGTCAAAATGTCATATATTTGCTGTGCATTCAGGCGTTTTACACGTAAACTGCAACGTCACAAAACGTCATAAAAGTAACAATCTAAAATTTTGAAGTAAAACTTCTTTAGACTGATCTGTTACATGTGTAAATTTTGTGGACAAATCACGTAGTCAATTGCAATATCCGGATTCTATTCAAAAAGACCTTTCAAACGATACCCAACATGCCAAATAACACAATTTAATTTTTTAAACTCACTCGTATGTTATGAAGCTGAGTCAGAAACACCCTGTTATATAACATCGTTTTTTATGACATTTGTGCGGTTTCTACGTTATGTTTTCTATCTGACAATCTGAGATATACGCCTGACTGCAGAGCAATGGCTTTTGACAATATTTAGTATGGAAAGTTCTTCATAACATAGCCTTGCCATAACATTTTTCTGTTATGCAGCAAAGTGTCATGAATTTTCTTACCTGGAATTTAGAGTTTTATCGGCGGCAGTTCGAAAGAAAAATAGTTTTTCGGCGGTTGGATTAGGCCACGATAAAATACCCTTTTTTGTCTACGCAACATAAAGCCTAGGAAATAAAAGTAAATTGGGTGAAAATCATTCTTAGGAGCGTAGATCTTTACAGATTAGAGATATGGACATTAAGGTAAGATAACAAAAACCATCTGAGTTTTGAAGAGTTTTGAAATGTGGTATTGAAAAATAAAACTAGTGGTATATAGCATCGTGCCTTAAATCAAATTCCAAACTCTGGGGGTCTAAAAATCCTTAAAAAATCTGTCACGTGATTAATGGACGCCCCCTAAGATAAAGATAACAAATGAAGAAGTCCTGAAAAAATGGACAACAAAAGACTTTACAGAGCACGATCTTGAAAAAAAAAGGAAACTGGATCGAACCCATTCTGCCTTCTACAAAAAAGTGCCTTCTACATGACGTCATCAAAGGTAAAAAGAAAGATTTAAAAAGATTAAGAATAAAACTTACGCGACATGATGACCAATCATCGATCGATCGATGTCATCGAATGCGAAAGACGAATCATTGGCACTCGACTCGAGCGTAACGCAACTTCCGTTGCATTTGCACAGATTTACTCTCTAGTCGCGCCTAAAAAAGTTTTACTTCAAAAATGCAGATGAAGAAAAAATACAGGAAACTCAAAGTCGAAGCACAGGACAAGAAAGCATGAAGCAGATGAAAAGGAAATTGCATAAAAAGTAATTTTTGGGGCAAATGAAACGATTGATTTATTATTAACTTCCCTTTAAGTTATAGTAATGAGCCGAAAGTCGAAAATAAAAATTTTTACATTAAAAATTCAAAAAAACACCCAGGCTAAGCACAGTCTAAGCGCCACTCTGGTACAAATGTTTACCCAAGTGCGTTTAGACTGTTTATGTACTGTGCTGTTCTAATTTTGTGAGAAAACTATTGAAAAATATGAAAATGCCGCCGAGCCAAGCACAGTATAAGTGAAAATGTCGCACAAAATTATTTGCAAATGCGTTTAGACTGTGACTATACAGGAGCACTTTTCCAATTTTAGGTAAATTAATAAAAATGTAATTTTGGAATAAAACATTCAAAAAATTTCCCGGACTAAGCACAGTCTAAGTGATAATCTGGTACAAATATTATCACAAGCGCGTTTAGACTGTGAGTGTACTCTGGAAGCTCTTTTCCAATTTTAATTAAATTATAGAAATGTAATTTTGAGGTAAAAATGCAATACTTTTTCAGTTATGTGGAAATTATTGAAAAATGTAAAAATACCGCCAAGCTAAACACCGTCTAAGCGAAAATGTGGAACAAAATTATTTGCAAATGCGTTTAGACTGTGACTATGCGGGAGCACTTTTTCAATTTTGGGTAAATAAGGCAACATTTTTTTTTTAAATGAATTCGAAATGAAATGACGATTGTTAAAATGTTCTAGAGATAAATTGATTTATGATTTACATTTGATTTGCTCAGATATAACAAACAAGATAGCAAAAATAATGAAAGTTACACTATTTGTAATAATATATTTGAAAACGTTTAAAATTTCCCGAATATTTCATTACGATACGGGAAGTTCCAGCAATTTGCTTTAAGACACGATGCCATACACCACTAGTTACCATTTATTATTATTCTTACCGTAACAGTTCCCAAAACGTGAACAATATTAGTGGTTCTAAACATAAAGCAATCAGATCCCGATAGAAGACCCTTCATATAATTCACAACATTGCATACTGGTATTTTTTCTCCGAATGGAAACGTGGCTTTGTTCACTGCTTGTTCTAATAAATATTCACTATTGTTCGGAATTACTTTATTATTATCTAAGCATATATCTAAAAATGATTTCAACCTGAAAAAAAAACAATATTTAGAAGTTTGTAATAATAATTTAAATATTTGTTGTGATGTGCCAAGATTCAAAACTGTTCCGAATCAAAACGTAATTAAAACGTAAATATAATGTAACAGACGTGACGTCGAGCATAGCGATTACATAACCTAGAAGGCACATAAATGTTTAAGAAGTAAAGAGAAAGATAAATAGAAAGGTAAATAGAAAGAGAAAATAAGAAAAGAAAGAGAAGATAAGAGAAAATAAATAAAAGAGAAATAGAAATATAAAGATAAAGAGAAATAAAGAAATAGAAAGATAAATATAAATATAAAGATAAATAAACTAAAATATAAAGAAAAAATATAAAATACAGATAAATATAAATATAAATATAAAGATAACATATAATATAAAATAGAAAGATATCTAAATATAAACATATAAATATAAATATAAATATAAATATAAATATAAATGCAAATATAAATGTAAATATAAATATAAATATAAATATAAATATAAATATAAATGCAAATATAAATGTGAATATAAATATAAATATAAATATAAATATAAATATAAATTCAAATGCAAATATAAATGCAAATATAAATATAAATATAAATATACACCTAAGTCTGTTTTTACACGGTAGATTGGTTCCAGAAGAAGCCGTGTAAAAAAAAACGTGTAAAAAGACATTGATCTTATACAAAAATGGGTGATTTGTTCCTAATCTCTAAAACCTATTAAAATTAGTGAAGAAACAAGAATTCATGTTTATTTTATTAAATCAAAAATATAATGCTTATTTTCACAAGCATAGTAATTAATGATAAAAAAGATATGCACTCTAATGTTAAAAGAAATATAAATTAAATGTATGGCAAGTTCAGGAACTAAAAAACTATGTTGTGAACGAAAAGAATAGGTTTTTCATTTTTTAAGGTAAAAAATAAAATAAAACTAGTGGGGTGGGTGGCATCGTGCCTTAAGGCAAATTGCTGGAACTTCCCGTACCGTAACGAAATGTTCGAAGATTACTGAATGTTTTCAAATAGATTATTATATATATTGTAACATTGTCTAATATTTATAAGAATTATATAAACTGAATTGCAGAGTTGAAATTATTTGTAAAGTATATTAGAACTATAGTCAGAATTAAAAATAAATATTTTCGATATACAAAAAACTAAAAAAAAAAAAAAAAAAAGAAAATTTTTTTTCCAAAATCGATTATTTTGTTGAAACAAGCAGAAAGTTCTTTGAATCATTTAATTCGAACGCTTAGTTCTCTCAAAAACTGCCATTTTTTAACATTTAGCTCTGAATCTCCGAAACCGCTGGGTCTACCTTTGCCAAAAACTAATAAACACTTTTCCCCGGCATTACGAACTGAATGTTTTTTGGATCATACAAATCGGATGATCCGTTCTCTCAAAAACTCGATATCTATTTTCTGCATTCTTTGCTCCGTATCTCCGTAACGGCTTGACCTGCCTCTGCCAAAAACTAATCAGCACATCTCACTATCAATAGGGATCGAATGGTAAATGAAACATTCGAATCGGTTGATCTGTGCGCCCGAAAACGAGGACGAAAAATTGTATCCATACCCACACACATCCATTTAGTTTCTGAGGTATGCCAGTAAAATGTTCAGAAACTTTCAAAACGTCGAGAAATGTAAAAATTTTCATTTTCGATTTTCGGCCCATCATTATAACTACCCTACGGGAAGTTAAATATAAATATAAATATATAAATATATAAATATATAAATATAAATATACGGTTACGTAACGGTTTCGTTTTTGTTATAATTGAGTAATTCAATTTCTGATCCGAACCAAAAGATGACCGGGCAATTCTGCATCATAAAATAGCATTCATCAGTATATTCTAAAATCTCGACAAACTAACATATTTTTTATGAAGCAGTAACAAAAAATCCAGTTTTAAAATTTCGATTAGGCACATCACTACCAATAATATTTTTATTTCCCATACCTGGCAATTCCAAGACAGTTCAAAAATATCCAAACGGCCGGAAAAACTGTCGGCATCAAAGGTACAACCACTGTAAGAGGAGCTGTGAAAAACAAATCGTTGACACTTAAAGAGTATAATGAATTTTCCCAATAAAACTCAATCATTTCGGTGTATCGCAAAAATCCGAAAAGCAGCGCCAAAATCAGCAGTACGGTGAGGCAAGAATAATGTAGAATTACTGTCACCAGCTGAAAAAAAAGAAATACATATATATATATATATATATATATATATATATATATATATATATATATGATATTCAGTTTTCAGGGCAATACATCAATTAAAAAATTTGTATGACTTTAAAACAATTTTATTTTTTCCATACGTTTCGACACATAGTTTTGTGTCATCTTCAGTGGACTCTATTTTGAAGGTACAGATAAAATTATTAATTAAAACTAATATATAAGAAGTGATATGGTATGAACTTACATGTAATTGTAATAATCCTAATTATTTGCATTGTGAACAATTATAATTAGGAAATAATTAGGATTATTACAATTACATGTAAGTTCATACCATATCACTTCTTATATATTAGTTTTAATTAATAATTTTATCTGTACCTTCAAAATAGAGTCCACTGAAGATGACACAAAACTATGTGTCGAAACGTACGGAAAAAATAAAATTGTTTTAAAGTCATACAAATTTTTTAATTGATGTATTGCCCTGAAAACTGAATATCATATATATATATATATATATATATATATATATATATATATATATATATTAACAAAGTCTAATAATCGGGCATAACATTAAATGGGGTTTTTTGCCATATGTTTGCCATACATTAAAGAATTGTATGTTCCTTGGAAAAAACTTTTTTATAAATCTGGACTTCGACTTGTAACCAATTTTAGTACAACTACTAGCACTATTTTTACCAAGACAAAAACCCCATTTAATATTGAACGACTCAGAAATCTCGTCTATCAAATAAATTGTTTAGACTGTAATTTAATTTACATAGGAGAAACTAGCCAGAACCTCAATAAACGGTTACAACAACATAAAAACAATTCAAAAAACCCCAAACAATTCAAAACGGTTCTTGCAGACCATATATACACTTTAAAACACAATATGGACTTTTCTAATCCGACTGTACTACAATTTGAACAAAATTTATTTAAACGAAGAATTATAGAGGGATCTTTTTTAACTATTTATAACAATAAGACAATAAATAAACGGAATGAACTCAACACGCTGTGCGACACAAATCTCTTCTATTTAGATAACATTTCCAAATTTCTTACAAAACAATAAAAGCGTTCGCGCAAAGGTTTTACAATTCGTTCCACACATGTGCAGAATCTTGGTAAAAATATTTTTTAAAAAAATGTCTTTCTCCATTACATCTTCAACCAGTCTACGAATAACACACTATCCATTTGTGATTTTTTCAAATCAGTATTTTGTGAAAATATTGTGTAATTACATGTTAATGTTTATAGTACATAGTGTAGTGCATTACCATATCCTAATACCATGGATTATTAAAGTTTTCCAAATTAACACTAAGATCAACTAATTGTAAGTACTAATTACTATTTTATTTTTTCTTTTCACTCCAATTCAATTGTTTTAGTTTTTAATTTTATTTTTAGTTTCCACTGAATGAAGGCTAGGATTATAGCCGAAACGTATGGATTTAAAATAAATTTTTGAAAGAAATTCATGTTTTTTATTGATGTTATGCCCGATTATTAGACTTTGTTAATACATATGTCAACATCAAATTCAGAATCATACAAATATATATATATATATATATATATATATATATATATATATATATATATATATTAGACTAGTTTAAAAAAAATGTATGTCTTAAATTACCAAGTATCGTTGAGAATCATGAAGCGAATTAGGTCTTTCCAAAGATTTATTTAAAGCGATCCTGATATTGTTCAAGTACGGCGTTTCTTCTAACATGTATAACTTATTTTTCATGGGTAATCTTAATTTAGGGGTTGACAGAACTTCTTCATTCTGTAACAAAAAAATATATCTTATATATAAAATTCTTCTGTAATGGTGTATGAAAGGATAATCCTCCTAAACGATTATTCAGATTTTGATAAATCTTCCTAAAGTTTGTTAAGGGATTTTTTTAAGAGTTTTTGATTTATAGAAATATAGTTAGATTGTAGAAATAAATGGAAAAAATTACAAAAAATCGCTTAGTATTGTTTGACTTTAAAAATATTTGAGGCATTGTTTGACATTAAAAACAAATGAAAACTGTCATCGGCCAAAAAATTTCAATTCACTTATGAGCTAAGACAATATTAGAATATAATATATTTATGATTATGAATAAGAAAATGTAATGTCTATATTATTATTGCCGAAAAGCAGCTGAGATGTGCCAAAAATTAAAATAATATAAGATACAGTATATGGTTTGGCAGATGAACAGTCTGCGCATGCGTCTGACGGTTGTGGAATGTCAGTGAATATACCCTATATAATTTAATTTGCCAGATTATTATTTTTTAACTAATGCAGCCGTGTTTTGCCTTACTTTACTAAATCACAATACAAAATAAATTTACTCATTCAAAAATTTTTTTAGAAGCTTTATTGTGTCAAAAATTCATATGTTTGGCATTGGATACGGAATATTTACTCAAGTCAGTAGAGCGCTTTGAGTCTGAATTTTTTTACTGTGCTCCAATTTGTATGAAATTTTGGAATTAGGTTCATCTTACTTTCAAATTCAAAAGTGAAAATAATTTAGACTCCACGGGCGTATGACACCCCTTCTCAGCGGTGTAATTTTTTTTTTCAAAAACCAATTGTTTTGTCAATACAAGCAAAAAGTTTTTTGAATCATTCCAATCGGACGCTTAGTTCTCTCAAAAAACTGCAATTTTTTGCACATTTAGCTCCGTATCTCCGAAACGGCTGGACCTGCATTTGCCAAAAACTAAACGCCAAATCTCCTTAACAATAGAAATCGAATTCACATTCAAATCAGTTAATCCGTGCGCCCGAAAACGTGAAAAAACAATCATATCCATACACACACACACATCAATTTTTCTAGGGTATGCTAAAACGTTCAGAAACCACTGAAACGTGAAAATATTCAATAAATCAAGTTTCAAATAACTTACGGCATTTGGTCCATAAACATCCCCAGCTTGCAAATGCTTCGGTTCATCTGTTGTCAAAAGCGCAGAACAACTTCCTGGTATAACTTGTCCAGGACGTAACACAAGGATGTCCCCTTGGACAAGTAGAGCCCACGGTAGATTTATAACCATACCTGTAAAAAATTAATAAAATTATAAAGCATACAAAAAACAAGAATTTATATAAATATAAATATAATTTATATATATAAATATAAATATTTATATTTATATTATATTTATATTATTACCGTCTCGATATGTCCATTGCAAAGTTAAACATGGTGAATACGGTGAGCATAAATTAGGATACACATCAGAACTCCAGTTGCAACTTTGTTCGGCTTTATCTAATAAATCTATAACAAAAAAACACATTAATTTTAACCGATTAAGTACAACATAACCTCAAAATTTTACCTAATAATCCTCGTATACGTCTAGGGAGTTCTGAGTACCTCAGCAGACTTTCTCTTACAACTAATACAATATTTATAATAAAAATAATTAGGATGACTACAAGTTGTATACAAAGCCATGGTTGTACTTCCTGGTTTACGATTAAGCCGGTGAAAATAGTAAATAAAGTTAGAATGTATACGAGAACACTGGGCCAAGTTATTAAACTATTTACACTCGAATGGTGGAAGGAGTCTCTTAGTACATTTTAAGAATACTGAAACAAAAACAATACTTATATATAACTACACCTAAGACAACTATTATTATTATTATTATTATTATTATTATTATTATTACCTGGTTTTAGGATGTTGCACATAATACTCCTGTAGTTCTAAATTTATTTCATGTTTTAATTTATTTATAGCCTCTTTGGAAGTCAGACCAAATTTATCCTTGAAGTAATTTGGTTGCTGTCTTGCCATTTATTGTACTAAATTAATATTCTTCCTATTGTTGTTCTAAATTATCTAATACCGTTAACTAGTATTGCACTTTATGTGTTTTAAGGAATACATTTTAATTAGATTTTAGTGTTACTGTAATGTTTTTATATGTTGCATGTTTGTGTTTAATAATAAATAAACATCTAGGCCAGATAACCAAGAATTTGCATTTTGACAGCATCCATTTTGAGATTATAATAGTGTCGCCATCTTGTGGCGATTTTTAAAAACATTATTTAAATTATTTAATTTATATAAATAAAGTTTAAATAATATTATTTATATTAGATTTTTTATTACTTGATTGCAAAATTCTATTAATATATATATATATATATATATATATATATATATGTTTTTTAATTTTAGGGTTGACTATTTTTGTAGCTTCCACTTTAGCAGATTTCATTACACTTGTAACCATAGCAACCGCAAACAGAACAAACATTTCACATTTTTCTTCACATTTTGTTCTCCAGTATTTTTCATTTTATATATATATATATTAATTTATATAATAATTATGTGATATTAATTTACATTTTATATAAAAAATAAATTGAAATAGTTGTGCAATTGTATCCAATATGTCTTACAGAGAAATCAGAGGTAAAACAATAATATTACATATTTACTTTAATAAATGGGTCAATTCTGCTGTAAAATAGACGCAATGTTATGTTACGTTCTAGTTTTCATACAAAATGCAACTAAATTCTGTCAAAAGGCCATGTATTTGCTGTGCTATCAGGCGTTTTACACATAAAATGCAACTTCACTCATATGTTATCAAGATGCAGTTATGATAACATTATTTTTGTGACATTTGTGCATTTTTTAGGTTATGTTTTGTATCTAAAACGCCTGACTGCACAGCAACCACATTGGATTTTGACAGTTTTTAGTACCACTTTATATGAAACATAGCTTTGCCATAACATTGATATATTATACGGCTGGATCGGCCCCAAAGTCTTGGCAAAATCTATTAAATCCATCTGTTAAAAATATATATGTATTATTTTATTATTTTGGAATATTATTATATTAAAAAAAATCATTAAATTTAAACCATTTGTGTAAACTAAGATGCCTAGTTTTCTGGTCATGGTGATTGTTTTATAGTTTGATCTATTTTGCAATGATTTGTTTCAACATGTATAAGTTATTATATATCATTGAAAAGCAGATAAAATTATCTATTAATCTGTGTATAACAATTTAAATCATCAGGAACAAAAAATATATTTAAAAAATCATTGAATTTTAAACGAGCCATTTGTTTAAACTCAGCAGCTCATTTTTCTGGTGATAGTAATTGTTTTATAGTTTGATCTATTTCTCAATAGTTTGTTTCAACATGTATAAGTTATTATATATCATTGAAAAACAGATAAAATTATAAATCTGTATATAACAATTTAAATCATCAGGAACAAAAAATATATTTAAAAAATCATTAAATTTTAAACGAGACGTTTGTGTAAACTAGATGGCCATTTTTCTGGTGATGGTGATTATTTTATAGTTTGATTTATCTTTCAATAACTTGTATCGACATGTATATATGTTTCTATATATCATTGAAAAACAGATAAACTTTTTTAAAAATCTGTATATAACAATTTAAATCATGAGGAACAAACAATATATTCAAAAATTCGTTGAATTTTAAAGGAGCCATTTGTGTAATCTAAAATGCCTAGTTTTCTGGTTACATTGTTTTATAGTTCGATCAATTTTTTAATAATATGAGAATTTTTTAGCTTTTAAAAACGCTCAATTTTACGTAAAAAAATTTCATCAAGGGTTGTCCAATTTTAACATTTATTTTTTAATGTATTAGATCACTTTTCTTAATTTTTTTGAAAAATACATGGAAACAACCCTCAATTTTCACCTTCCAACCACACTTTCCAATTTCATTAACTATTTTTAACCTGTTTGATAATGGTCAATTATCGTCTTTTTATGGACGAGCTTATATTATACGTTGCAATGCTGAATGGGATGTTTCACTCGTTGATGCATCTAATACTGCTCAACAATCAATCACAAAAGTTACGAGCGCTGATAACTAAATTTAACTGAATCACATTTTTGTTTGGATTTTTGTTGAACGGGTGATCAAGGTACTTAATTCAATTTTTTTCGTCTGATATTTTTCTTTAAATTTTATATCTGATATTTTTCTTTAAAGTACCTTTTTATTTTAATCCGATATACCTTCAGTCATTCTCCTGTCTACATGCATCTATCAACTCTTTTTTTTCACATGACTACCTGTGTGTACGTGTGTCGCTTACTTATCCCTCTGATTCAAATTAGTAAGAATACTAATTCCTTCACTGGGCGGCTCGCTGTTCCGTACAGCAGTATCAATAATTAATAATATATATTCTATTTTTTTTTTTAGATTTTTCCGAGCACCTCCGAATCTTGGATTACCCACATTCGACGACATTGCCAACTGTCAACAATGGCGGCTTCTCAGCATTGGCGGTGCTGCTGCAATGGTTAGCCGGTAGAGTGGAAACTGGCGCAAGTATCGCAGGAGACGCCACTCAGGAATCAGGACGGGTGCAACTTATCAGATCGGCGGTGGAATTCATGGTAAGAGAACAAATCTCTAACTAAAGAACAAAATCTCTAACTAAAATAGTCTTTTAAATTTATTAAATCGGCGCAACCGAGAGGAGATGAAATTTTGTCTCGGATACACATACTTTTCCTAATTTTGGTTAGATTTAGAATCACTTGAAACGCCCGAGAAACATGTAATTAATAAAAGCAACGCAAATGAATATTTCTCTTTTGATAGTTAATAAAATATTAATTTTATTTGGCAAGGATAACTGATTTATTTATTCTTAAAATTAGGCTGTGAAGGCTGGAATTAAATTGAATCCAAGAAGATTATATGGTTGTGGAGGAGGTGCAGCAAAAGAGTTACTGAAGGTATATATTTACATACATACACAGATATATATATATATATATATATATATATATATATATATATATATATATATATATAATATTTCTGAAAACCTCATAGGTAACGACAATGCTTGTATCTGCTCCAAAAACTGAAGAAGATCCTTACTCAGACAACACGTCATCTTTAGATATGGATCTTATGGATAAGGTATAACATTATCTTCTATATATATATATATATAAAAATAAGTCGGGTTTTCCTTCCTGACGAAATAACTCCAGAACGCACGAACCGATTTCGACAATTTTGGAAAAGGTATTCGTTGGAAAGGCCTCGGGCTCCGCAAGGTTTATAACTAATAAAATTAGTGGTGCATGGCATCGTGCCCTAATGCAAATTGCTGGAACTTCACGCACCGTAATTAAAAATTCGAGTAATGACATTAGTGAGAATTATCAGAATTATGCTTGGTTAAGTCAACGAGCAATTCTTTCCGCAAAGAATAATGTGGTGTACTCGTACTAAATTTCACCATTAAATCAAAAATTTCTGGCGATTTGGTGACATACCAATGATTCCGACTGGTCGTCCATTTGACTTCAAACGATTGCAATTTCCAGTTCGCAATAACAAGTCTCAAGGCCAATCGCTTAGTGTTTGCGGGATAAATTTCAAATAGATTATTTAGAAAATCATTGTTTTTCACATGGGCAGTTTCACGTTGCCTGTTCACGAGTTGGAAAACCATCCGCTTAGTTTGTGTTAACGTCAGATCAAAAAACAAAAAATGTGGTTTACCAAAGAGCACTTCAATGAAACGGATAATTGGCGGATTCACTTTCATTCACTTAGAGAAGTTCAACTAAAAAACACTTCATTTTTGTAATCGAAATAAATTCATTACTGTTGTATAATAAAATCAAATTTTTCCTTTTCAAATATAAAACAAACAAAAAATTTCTTCATCTTTCTCACGAAACCATCTGGTGGCGAAACGGAGTTCGTAGGGTTTGCTAGTCATCTTATAAAATAAATATAAACTAGCTGTAAGTGGAATTCTGTCTTGAGGCAATTATGGCATCGTGTCTTAAGGCAAATTGCTGGAACTTCCCGCACCGTAACAAAATGTTCGAGGAATACTGAATGTTTTCAAATAGATTATTATAAATATTGTAACATTGTCTAATATTTATGAGAATTATATAAACTGAATTGCAGAGTTGAAATTATTTGTAAAGTATATTAGAACTATAGTCAGAATTAAAAATAAAATCTGAAATATTTTCGATATACAAAAAAACAAAAAAAAAAAAAAATGAAACAAATTTTTTTTTCCCAAAATCAATTATTTTGTTAAGACAAGCAGAAAGTTCTTTGAATCATTTAAATCGGACGCTTAGTTCTCTCAAAAACTGCCATTTTTTACATATTTAGCTCCGTATCTTCGAAATGGCTGCGCCTGCCTTCCCAAAAACTAATAATAAGCACTTCTCCCAATCATTACTAATTGAATGTTTTTTAGATCATTCAAATCGGATACTCCGTTCTCTCAAAAATTCGATATCTATTTTCTGCACTCTTTGCTCCGTATCTCCGAAACGGCTGGACCTGCCTTTGCCAAAAACTAATCAGCTCTTTTCCCTATCAATAGGAATCGAATGTTTTTTGAACCATTCAAATCGGTTGATCCGTGCGCCCTAAAACGTGACTGGAAATTTGTATCCATACATACATATATACACACACACACACACATCCATTTTTTCTGAGGTATGCCAAAACGTTCAGAAACCTTCAAAACGTCGAGAAATGTTGAAATTTTCAATTTCGATTTTCGGCCCATTACAATAACTTACCCTACGGGAAGTTAATAAATTAATGAATTTTTTTATCCAGGTTGAAGAACTTAGAACAGCAAGATCACTATCATCAGAACTCACAAATCGAGGAGCAACACTGTATGATTTACTTGAAAAGGAAAAAAATAACAAGGTAATGTATATATATATATATATATATATATATATATATAATATATCATAGATATAAAATCCTTCTGTACGGGCGTATAAATTGATACTTTTCCTAAACGGTTATTCGGATTTTGATAAATCTTTTTAGAATTTGTCAAAGAAAATGTTTAAGATTTAATAAACGATAAAACTATAGTAATATTCTTTATATTACTTACCAATTAATTATATTTTGTAAAAGGATTTACGTATCCAACATTCAACAAGAGTCCTGGAACTGCCTGTGGTTGAGGCAGGTCTAAAAGCTGCTGTTAATCAACTGAAAGAACAATTGGACGACAATCAAAATGCCCTGGCAAAGGCAAAAGCTGATAGTGAGAGTCTTGCGAATAAAATCCAACGCAAAGAAACAGAATGCAATCGAGCCAATCAGCGTTTGGCAACTTTGAGCAAAGTCAGGTAATAATAGAACTAGTTGAAAGTGGCATTTAGCCTTAAGGCAAGTTGCGCGAACTTTCCGAAATGTGTAAGAATTGACTTGATCAACCGACATCGAAACCTATATATCTAGATAAAATTGAATTTCGGGAAAGCCTATTAACTGATTGGAATAATTAAAAAAAACATTCGATTCGTATTAATGAGGAGACATGCTAATTAGTTTTTGGCATAGGCAGGTCTAGACGTTTCGGAGTTACGGGGCAAAGAGCACAAAAAGTAGAAATCAAGTTTTTGAGAGCACGAAGCGTCCGAATTGAATAACTCAAATACGTTTTATTTGTATTGACTAAACAAAGAACTGTTTAAATTTTTGGAAAGGCAGGTCTAGCGTTTACGGAGTTTCAAATAAAAATATGTTACAAAAATACCATTTGACGGTCAAAAATGTTCATTACACATATGCACATCAAATTATCACATATTTTATAGAGATTTCAATAATGTGTACACATTTTGTGTCAATTTTTTGGGTTCCGTACCAAGATTTTGCATTTTGAAGTTCGTTTATATGGTTCAAACAAATGTATTCTTTCTTTTTATCTTTTAATCTTTCAATTTTATTGAATAACCTATTTGTATGATTGAAAAAACATTCGGTCCGTACTCGATCGCGAAGCGTTTTTGCAAAAGGCACGCTTAGTCGCTTCGGAGTAATGGAGCGCAAAGGGTGTAAAAATGGTCATGCGGTTTTTGAGAGAACGGATCATCCGATTAGATTAATTCAAAAAATCTTTTGCTTGTGTAGACGGTGTGCAAACAAAGCTTTTGCAGAAAAAATCGTAATTTTGAAAATTTAAAAGAAAAATCAAAATTTTCAAAAAAAAAATGACGTTTTAAAATCCAAATTTTCGAAAATTTTCATCATTTTCAAACAAAATCTATTTTTGAAAAATTTCAAAAAATCTCATTATTAAAAAAAAAAATTCTCACAAAAATTTGAGAATATTTCAAAATCTTCCAAATTCAAAGTTTCAAAAAAATCAAAATTTTCAAAAAAAATAAATAAATTTCAAAAAATTAAAATTTTCGTAATTTTTCATCATTTTCAAAATTAATTATAATAAATAAATTTTTGCAAAATTTTAAAAAATATATCAAAATTAAAAAAAAAGATTTCTCACAAAAATTTGATAATATTTCAAAATTCTCCAAAAAATATTTTAAAGTTTCAAAAAATTCAAATTTTCGAATTTTTTTCTTTTTCAAAAAAATCTAAATTTTGAAAAATTTTAAAAAATATCAAAATTTAAAACAAAGTTTTCTTATAAAAATTTGAGAATATTTCGCGATTTTCAAAAAAATCGAATATTTTCAAACATTTACTACTATACTTTACTCTAAATTTGAGATTCTATGGAAAGTTGTAAAATATTATAGGCCTGAGGAAACTTGAATCATATTCATATAACAAATTTTGCAAATTCAATGACAATAGACTTAGGCACGTAAAATATTATAGGCCTGAGGAAAGTTGTAAAATATTATAGACCTAAAGATAAGAATAATATTTAAAGAATAAGAACACATTTAATTGCTTTAATTAATAATTTAATTTAAATTTAATGGCTTTAGACTTGAGATTCGAAATAAGCCTTGTAAAATATTATAGGCTTGTGGATAGTAGTAAAATTTTCTGCGATTTACAAAAAAAAAAACGTCTTCACTGATCTTCATAAAAAACGGTAAAAAAATCTCTTCACACACACATATACTTTTAGTTCAAAGTTAGTCTCAAACAATTCAGAATGACCAGGATAAAATTATCAAATCAGTTTTTGTGATAAAAACATAAACATCTCCTTCAGGTACAATTTTATTATTTAAAATATATACATATATATACAAGTTAAGACTATACACCAACTTTCTCTTTCTTATCACTCCCATCCAAAACACTGTCAGCTTTCCTCTTATTCCCTTTTTTATTCTGATTGCGTATACTTTTAATCATCTTGCCATCACCTAGCATTATTTTGGCTCTTGTACCGGGTCCCCAATGTGCCGTTGGATTCTCAGGAAACCGCGCAAAACCCATTTTTCTGCTCACAGGATTTGCATCTTTGTGCAATTTAAAATTTATTTCATTTTGTATCGGTTGTTGTAAGATGTTTGTTACGGGTACGTTTGGTATCAGGCGCGACTTTTTAACCGGGTGCTCCTTTTCCCACGTTCTTAGAACGTCCCATAGAAATTGCATGGGGGCGTCTGTTTTTATTGATGTTTTGCAAGCGTGGGAGTATGAGACTTTGTAACCGGAGTTTAGGAGTGCTGATCGTAAGGTGATTATTGGTATTGTTTCGATGTGGAGTGTTGAACATAGTTTTTCTAACGTGTAGTACAAAGGTGTATCTATTTCTTCGTTTACGACTGATAGAACACCCTGCATACGCAAGTGCGTTGCGTATTTTGTACCAAAACTTTCGCAATGTCTTAATAATTTTCGGACGAACGTTTGGTCGTGCAAAGGGTTTATCCAAACAGGCCCCCCGGTGTGATATTTGGACCCACAATGGTCGCACTCGGGTTTTATAGGCGGCCCTGTCGGTATAGCATATTTATACTGATTCATTTGCTTGTTTACACTCGTTTGTTTAGGTTGTACTGTTTTTATTACCCCCAGCGGTTGCAAAACCGTGTACTCGCACCCCGTGCACAAATGCACCAACCCCAATTTACTCGTAGTCTTCTTGCACTCCTTAGGACTAGTATAAACCCTTACAAAAACCCGGATATAAAAATCTATGGATACTGATAACAAAGGCACGATGTGCCTCCCGTATCTATTACTATGCCCTTCTATACACTGCAACAAAATCCTTAAAGCCATTTCGTGACAGGATTTTGTGTGTAAACTTACAGCACCGTATTTTGTGTAACAAGTTTCTGGAGCATTACCCGCTAACACAGCCATATCCGTGGCTGTAACCAAAAGTAAACCCCCGTCACAAACCGCTTGCACGGCTGAGTCTAGGAATATTCCTGGACAACCGTAAGGATCTAAATCTATAGCCGTGAATCTTAAATCTGGTTTACGTTTTTGGTACATCAACATGGTAGCATCATCGTGGTTAGGTGTTACCAAGTGCTCGACTTTATTATGTGTTATTGTACGTTTAATACTTTGTACAGCGTTTAAAGACAAATCATTAGCGACTACATTTTTTAAACCGGGGATTTCTAAAGCATACCTCACACTGCGTAAGCCTGTTGCAGAAAGAGCCTCGAGGATAGACAGACCGTCATCATAAACTTTACCAGGTTCATATGTCTTTGCATCTGTATTTTGTTCATTATTTTTTTGGTGTTTTTCTTCCCTAAATATTTCTCCGAATACAGAAAGTACTGCAATGCTCAAATCTCGGTTAAATTCTTGTACAGGGTTGTAAAATACATTTGAAGCGAACTTAACCTCAGCTTTGCCTTCTTTGATTATATTATAACTTTCATCAGTCATTGTAAATGATATTTATTTTTGTGTTATACTTAAAAAATTGCACTTCATACACTAAATATAAAATATTTATATACAATACACTAATTATGTATTAAAATGATAAAATAATTATTTATTATATTTGTTTTGAAGTGGTATTTAATTTAAGGTTATCTGTCAAACCAAACACATGTCTGAACTTGATCACGTGGTGTTAACATAAGATATATATCAAGAGTGAAGTTGTATGTATAATGTTTGGCGGTAAATTTGAATTTGAATTTGAATTTTATTATTTTTAACTAAATCAGGAGTCAGGAGTATAAAATACAATACAACAATTTTTAAAGATATTGTTCAATATAAAAATAAATCACTAAAATAAAAAACTAAAAGTTAAATATTAAAATTTACATTATATCAAGAGTGAAGTTAGAGTAATGTTTGGCGGTTAATTTGAATTCGTTTGAAAAAGTTTTATCAAATAATTGTTTTATCATGTTTAATACTAGAACTAATAAATAAAAATACTAAATCAGAAATATAAAATACAACACCAACATTTTTAAAGATATTGTTTAATAAAAAAAAACAAACCATTAAAACAATAAAAAACTAAAAGTTAAATATTAATATTTACATTATGAAGAATACTCTTACATATTGTAATGTAAGAGTATTCTTTATAATGTAAATATTAATATTTAACTTTTAGTTTTTTATTGTTAACTTCCCGTAGGGTAAGTTATTGTTATCGTCCAAAAATCGAAATTGAAATTTTTTACATTTCTTCACGTTTCAAAGGTTTTTGAACATTTTGGCATACCTTAGAAAAAATAGATGTTTGTGCGTATGTATCGATACAATTTTTCGTCCACGTTTTCGGGCGCACGGATCAACCGATTTGAATGGTTCAAAAAACATTCGATTCCTATATTGATAGAGAAATGAGTTGATTAGTTTTTGGCAAAGGCAGGTCTAGCCGTTAGGGAGATACGGAGCAAAGAGTGCAGAAAATAGAAATTGAGTTATCTTATGATCTAAAAAGCATTCAATTTGTAATGATTGGGAGAAGTGGTGATTAGATTTTAGCAAAGACAGGTCAAGCCGTTTCGGAGATACAGAGCAAAATGTACAAAAAATGACAGTTTTAGGGAGAACTAGCATCCGATTTGAATGATTCAAAAACTTTCTGCTTGTATTGACGAAACTATTGCTTTTGGAGATTTTTTTTATTTCATTTTTTTTTAATTTCCAAAAAAATATCTTTTCGTAACTAAGTTTTATTCTCGAATATTTAATTAAGGTACGGGAAGTACCAGCAATTTGCCTTAAAGCACGATGCCATACACCACTAGTTTTTATTATAGATAATGCTGTGGTGTAACTGTTTAATAATATTGTGATATTTTTGTGGACAGTAAAAAGTTTCAGCTAAGTAAAAAATTGACAGACAATTTACAAATTAAATACTATTCATTAGTCAAATTATCATATTTTAATCGTTAAATACGATGAATGCTATAGCATCCACGTCAAGTATTACGCTTCTATTGTACGCAATTTGCTTAACCAAGGTAAAAGATAAGAATACAACAATACCTATAAATTCATCAATTAGTCATCACCTTGACAGGTATAATACTTACAAAAATCAAATTCAAAATAAATATTTTTAAAATTCGAATGCTATAGCATTCATGTCATTCTGCATCACAATAAAAATGAATGTTATGGCATTCACGTCGGCGAACGTTTTAAATATGTCTGCTACAACAACAAATACTAAAACTGATAAAATTATTTAATTTTTATTGTATTGTACTTATTATTATATATACATTTTTAAACAAAACTTGACTCAAAAACGTCGAGTGTTCATGGAATAATTTTTAACGAGTTCTTCAGAACGTTTTAAAAGGATCATGTAACTAAATATTATAAACTAGTGGGGCGCATGGCATCGTGCCTTAAGGCAAATTGCTGGAACTTCCCGTACCAAAAATTATTTTTTTAAAATAAATTTACTATGAAAAAAATAGATTTTTGAGAAACTATATATTTTTAACAAAAATTTACTTTTTTTTGAAAAAGACTTTTGAAATATTTTGGAAATTCTGCACTTTTTTTCAAAGCAATCGTACTGCGCGTAAGCGTCGCGCCGCCGTCTAACGGATAAACATTGGTACAGAACCTATAGTAATGTAAACAAAATTTATACTTATTGTTAAAATCTCTATAAAATATCTGATAATTTGATTTGCATATGTCTAATGCTCATTTTCGACCGCCAGATGGCATTTTTTTAATTTTTTTACTAGATCTCCGAAACCGCTAGACCTGCCTTCATGAAATCTTGTTAATACAAGTTAAATTATTCAAATCGGACGCTCCGTTCTCTTAAATACTGAGTCACCGTTTTTGACACTTTTTGCCCCATAACTTCAAAACGGTTAGACCTGCCTTCGCCAAAAACTAATCAGTACGTCTCCTTATCAATGCGAATCGAATATTTTTTTAATTTTTCAAATCTCTTCATCCGTGTTCCCGAAATCGTCGACAAAAATTTGTATCCGAACACACATACACACACACACACATTTTTTTTGAGGTATGCCAGTAAAATGTTCAGAAACCTTAAAAACGTCGAGAAATGCAAAAAATTTCATTTTTGATTTTTGGCTCTTCACTATAACTACCGTACGGGAAGTTAATAATCAATTAATGAAAAGTGCGCTGATAACCTTGACTATCGAAATGTGCTAATTCAATTTAAGTGAAATTAGTTTTAGATTAGACTGTCTTTTAAACATTTATATGTGGCATGCGTTGTAGTGGGTGAACCATCCATATAATTTGGGTTAGACGTGTCTTTTACTTATACATCACACACTTCTATATTCGAAATCAGTTAGCTATTCTGTATACTAAAAATGTTCTTATGGCTAAACAACGTTTGTCAGGCCAGCTAGTATATATATATATATATATATATAATATTTTATTATAAAAAAGCTTATTCAAAACGAACATGTTGTCAGCTTGGAGTTTGTGTAACATGTTCGAAATGAATTGACATGTTACACAAACTCCAAGCTGACAACATGTTCGTTTGGAATAAGCTTTTTTATAATAAAATAATTATTTATTAACTTCCCGTAGGGTGTTATTGTAATGGGCCGAAAATCGGAATTGAAAATTTTTACATTTCTCGACGTTTTGAAGGTTTCTGAACGTTTTGGCATACCTCAGAAAAAATGGATGTGTGTGTGTGTGTGTGTGTATGTGTGTGTGTGTATGTATGTGTGGATACAAATTTCCAGTCACGTTTTAGGGCGCACGGATCAACCGATTTGAATGGTTCAAAAAACTTTCTATTCTATTGATAAGGAAAAGAGCTGATTAGTTTTTGGCAAAGGCAGGTCCAGCCGTTTTGGAGATACGGAGCAAAGAGTGCAGAAAATAGAAATCGAATTTTTGAGAGAACGGAGTATCTGATTTGAATCATCTAAAAAACATTCAATTAGTAATGATTGGGAGAAGTGTTTATCAGTTTTTGGTAAAGGCAGGCCCAGCCATTTCGAAGATACGGAGCTAAATATGTAAAAAATGGCAGTTTTTGAGAGAACTAAGCGTCCGATTCAAATGATTCAAAGAACTTTCTGCTCGTCTTAACAAAATAATTTATTTTGGAAAAAAAATTTTGTTCCAATCTTTTTTTCTTTTTTTCTTTTTTTTTTTTAGTTTTTTGCATATCGAAAATATTTCAGATTTTATTTTATTATTTTATATTAGACAATGATACAATATTTATAATAATCTATTTGAAAACATTCAGTATTCAACGGGAAGTTCCAGCAATTTGCCTTAAGGCACGATGCCATCATTACCTCAAGACAGAATTCCACTTACAGCTAGTTTTTATGTTTATTTTAATTTTACAATTATTTAATATATATGTATATATATATATATATATATATATATATATATATTAATGTATCTTTTATCCTAGGCCTGCCTTCCTGGACGAGCTTGAACGTTTAGAAGAAGAACTGAGTGCAGTTTACGACAAATATGTCCTGTACGTTCGATGTCAGGCCGCTTTAAAAGCCCAAATAAATTCGAACACAGAAATCGATGATTTGAGTCAGACAACACTCAATCAGAAACAGGGAAAAATATTAATACCGCAGAATAAAAATCGAGGAATACCTGCAGGTCGGTAGAAATAATAATAGTCATATATAGAGGTCGATTTAGCCGCACAACATACTAATGTTATGGCAAGGCCATGTTATGAAGAACTTTCCATACTGAATATTGACAAAAGTCATGCGGTTACTGTGCAGTCAGGCGTATATCTCAGGTTGTCGGATAGACTAAACTTAACGTACAAACCGCACAATTGTCAACAAAACGATGTTAGATAACAGTGTGTTTCTGAATCAGTTTCATAACATACGAGTGACGTTGCAGTTTATGTGTGAAACGCCTGAAGGCACAGCAAATACACGACATTTAGAATGTATTCAGTATGATTCAGTGGCATAATATATGGAAGTTGGCGTAACACTTCCTTGCCATAACATTTTTTTGTTACGTGGCAGAATCAGTCCCTATATCTGGTTTATCGACGTTGTAAACAAATATTGGTGGAGTTTTGTTTAACTTAGTTTGGTAGCGTCTTGCTAAATCAAAAATTATTTTCATAATTTATGTTATGAATCAATCGGGTTAAAACAAAATTTGTATTAATCATATATAGGATTAAGGGTGGTCGAGAGCCATGCGGTTGTCGTGCAGTCAGGCGTATTTCTCAGGTTGTTAAAAACTAATTAAAAAATTTAATTTGCTTTGCTTTATTTGACTTAAATGGAGAACCTAACGTAGAATCCGCACAAATTTCGAACAAACTATCTTAGATAACAGGGTCGTTCTGACTCAGCTTCATAACATACGAGTGACGTTGCAGTTTACGTGTAAAACGCCTGAATGTACAGAAAATACACGATATTTCGACAGTATTTAGTTTGATTCAGTAGCATAATGTATGCAAGTTTGAGCGTAACATAGCCTTGCCATAACATTGCTCTGTGATTTCGTTATCTTATAAATATTTTGTTTAGGTTACGATATCAACGATGATGACGATGATACTGATTTAGATGATTTGGATGAATCCATGGATGATACTGAGGATTTGAGAAAAATGGCTAATATGAGTTTGGGTGCTAATAATAAACCGCGTACAAGGACCAGACTTCGAGTTCGTACAGGAGGTAATAATAATAGTCAGTAGAGTCTTTTTTCTCAATATTAATTATTTTATTAATTTGTTATTTAAGTTGCTCGTCAGTAGAGTCCTTTTTTGTTAGTTAAATACATTAAAATAAAATATTTTACACATTTTTTTATATTGCTCGTCAGTAGAGTCCCTTTTTTATTGTTATTATTTTTTTTATAAATTTGTAAAGTTGCTCGTCAGTAGAGTACCTTTTCTTCAAAATTTATTAATTTATTTATTTGTTATTTAAGTTGCTCGTCAGTAGAGTCCCTTTTCTCTAAAATAAATCGTTTTATTAATTTTTTATTTAAGTTGCTCGTCAGTAGAGTTCTTTTGTTCAAAATTGATTTGTTAATTAAGTTTCTTGTCAGTAGAGTCCTTTTCCTTAAAATCAATTATTTTATTGATACGTTATTCAAGTTGTTCGTCAGTAGAGTCCTTTTTCTTTTCAAAATTAATAATTTAACTGATCCATTATTTAAGTTGTTTGTCAGTAGAGTCCTTTCTGTCGTGAAATTACATTTGAATAAATTATTGTACAAATATTTGTGTTGCTTGTCAGTAGAGTCCCTTTTCTCTTGGGTACATGTTAATATTGTTTATTTTATAAATTTGTAAAGTTGCTCGTCAGTAGAGTCCTTTTACCAAAAATTTATTATTTTACTTATCCGATATTTAAGTTGCTCGTCAGTAGAGTCCTTTTTCTTTTAAAAATTTATTAATTTATTGATTTGTTATTCAAGTTGCTCGTCAGTATTCTCTCTAAAATTATTATTTTAGTGATCCCGTAATTTAAACTGCTCGTCAGTAGAGTCCTTTTTACCAAAATTAATTATTTTACTGATTTGTTATTCAAGTTGGTCGTAAGTAGAGTCTTTTTTGTGCCATTAAAATTTAATATTTTACTAATTTCTAATCCAGACTAAAGTTGCTCGTCAGTAGAGTCCTTTTATTGCCAAAAAAACGCATTGAAATTAATTATTTTACAAATTTCTAATAGTACTCGGCAGTAGAGTTCTTTTCTTCGAAATTAATAATTAATAATTATAATAAATATTAATATTAAATATTGAATAATAAATAATTATTAATTTAAGTTAATCATAAATAATTTTTCTTTCTCTCACAAGAACAATAAGAAACTAAATGCTCGTAGAAGTGATATCAACTACATTGTAATATTTTGTAGAACGGTGCACTTAAGACATACACCGTGTAGAATAAAGTGACTCTACCGACGAGCAAATTGCAATATGAAAAAAAGGACTGTACTGACGAACAATTTACAATAATATCATAATAATAAAAGACTGTAGTGACAAGCAAAATACAAAACTAGCAAAAAAAAAATTTACGGACGAAAATCTTACGTTAAAATTGTGTCAGAGTGTAGACTATCAGGACAATTTTGTTATGAGTAGTTGCAATAATATAAAGACGGGATTCTACTTGCGAGCAAAATGTCATAATAAAAAAGGACTGTACTGACGAGCTAAATACAAAACTAGAAAACAAGAAAATTTACTTTAAAATCTTACTTTAAAATTGTGACAGAATGTACACTATCGGGCCAACTCTGTTATGAGTTAAAAACAGAATATCAAAAGGCTACGTACACATAAAACCTAACCTCCAAAACGCACTTTAAACAATTTTAACACAAAATTTGTGTAAGTAAGGAATTTTAACATCTAATTTAATTCAACCTTATTTTTTTTTACTAGCTGGAGGTGATAGAGGTCGCATTTTTGGAGGCATGGGGCCCCACGGAGTCTCCGACAACTCTTTAGGAAACTCTTCAGACTCCTTAGGAATCGGACATGACGCAACTGAAGGTACTATAATACAAACAATTTAAAAAAAAACTATTTTTAATTTAATATCCTTTGATCCAGGTTTGACAGACGATGATGCCAGTTTAAGGTTCGACGAAATCAGCAAACAACCTATGGGCGGACCTGATATACCTGATGCTAGTGACGAGGACTTTTAATAAATAAAGTAGTGATAGTAATAGTATAGTAAATTATTTAATACTCGATTGGGTTCTTAATTAAAGTCAGAAACTGTGAAAATGTTAATCTAATTGCTGGCTGTATTTACATATAAACAAGTTAGGAAGAATGTTACGATAACTGCACCATCTAGAATTCTGTTATCTGAAGATTTTTCACAAACTAAGTAATAGTATTATAGTACAGTAAATGATTTAATAATCGATTTAGTTCTTAATTGAAATCACACTTACCTTATAACTCATAAAATAACATTGTTATGGCAATGCTATCTTATGCTTGTTCTTGGTATTGAAAATTATGAAAATGTCTTTCTATTTGCCGCGCGATCAGGCGTATTTTACATATAAACAAGCAAGGAAGAATGTTATAATAACTGCACCATCTAGAATTTTCAACAACGGAAGTAAAAATAATAATAGTACTATAGTACAGTAATTGATTTAATACTCAGTTTGGTTCTTAATTAAATTCAGACTTAATATTATTATTGTTTAAAATCAAATGGATCTGTGACGACGGCTTTGGCTTGTTCTTGATGCCATTTGCCGACGCCGACGGCAGGTGTCGCTGCCACATCACGCCCGGTATATTTTATCTAAAATATAAAAAAAAATATATATTAGATTAGTAAAAGATGAATAAAGATAAATTGGTACCTTTGTTCCTGCTAAATTTTCAAATCTCGGTTGCACAAACGACCAAGCGCCCATGTTTCTGTGCTCTTCTTGACTCCAAATAAATGCTAAAAATAAATATATACAATGTTATGGCAAGGCTATGTTATGAAGAACTTTCCATACTAAATATTGACAAAAGCCATGCGGTTGCTGTGTGATAGAAAACATGACCTAAAAACCGCATACATGTCAAAAAAACTATGTTAGATAACAGGGTGTTTCTGACTCGGCTTCATAACATAAGCCGTGACGTTGCAGTTTATGTGTAAAACGCCTGAATGCACAGCAAGCATATGACATTTTAACAGTATTCAGTATGATTCAGTAGCATAATGTATGCAAGTTGGAGCGTAACACTTCCTTGCCTTAACATTTTTTTGTTATGCGGCAGAATCAGTCCCTATATCTGGTTTATCGACGTTGTAAACAAATATTGGTGGAGTTTTGTTTAACTCAGTTTGGTAGCGTCTTGCTGGACCAAAAATTCTTTCCATAATTTATGTTATGAATTAATCGGATTAAAACAAAATTTTTATTTATCATATATAGGGTCAAGGGTGGACGAAAACCATGCGGTTGTGGTGCAGTCAGGCGTATTCCTCAGGTTATCAGATAGAAAATCTGACCTAGAAACCGCACATGTGTCATAAAAACTATGTTAGATAACAGGGTCTTTCTGACTCAGCTTCATAACATACGAATGACGTTGCAGTTTATGTGTAAAACGCCTGAATGCACAGCAAATGCATGACATTTTGACAGTATTCAGTATGGAGGGTAAAAATTTAGTGTTCTGTGTATTTCCCTTATTTTGTTACTTACTTCTTGCTTTTGTATATTTCGAAAGCTCTTGTTGTATATAATGCAAAGGGAAAGGACAAATTGATTCCAACCTCACAATGGCCACATCTTTAGCATTTCTGGCTTGTCTTTCTGCATCCAGAGCATAATAATGTTTTCCACTGCAGAATATTACTTTATTTACATCGCTAGGATTCACAGATTTATCACCTGAAACAAATGATAATAATAATATGTTTTGTAGGGTGGTCCTTAATATGGATATTTTCGAATTTCTTTGCTCCCAAGGGCCCAAACGCTTCCAAAGTAATAAAAGAAAATTCTCTGAAAGTTTTAGCTCTTAATATTAACATTTAGATAGTCCGCAGTTAAATTAAACGTTTTGTGTATTTATTATTAAGTAAATGCTTGCGCCATCTGTGATAGCAGACTTGTAATTTTGATGGCAATTTATTACTGATAATTTGTGTGGTAATTAATTTTGATGCCACGATGAATAAATATTTGATTAAACAATCCACATGGATTTAATTAGAGGTTAAGTGTTTCATAAATATTTTTAAGTGTCATAATATTTGAGTTCATAAATGCTATCACAGATGGCGCAAGAATTTACTTAATGAAAATACTTACTTGATTACTACTCGGAAATAAACAAAAAAAAAAAAACAAGAGAAAAAAGAACTAAACTGGCAAGGTGTAAAAAATATAGATATAACATACTAATATTAAAATTAATTGAAAATAATCTTGAATCTTGAATAAAATAGATTCAGGATTGTGAGATAAAACGTGGACGAAAAGTGTTACACTTTTTTGCAAATCACAAAGAAACAGCTCGGCCGATCGTCGCACAAAACTGACAAAAGATAGTAATCGTCGACATACATCGAATGGCTTTCAAATTTTTAAAATCGGTCCAGTCGTTTTTGAGAAAACGTCGACGAAAGATCAAAAATCTGACAAAGATGCTGAATGGGATATTTTACTCGATGATGCATCTAATACAAATAAACAATTATTCACGAAGAATACGTGCACTATTTTGCATCTTGATAACTAGATGTAATAAACAATTGCTTTTGAAGATGAAAAATATTACATCTTTTTTTTATTTTACATAAAATATTTTTGTAATTTTGGATTAAAAATTCAAAAAATTACCCAGGCTAAGCACAGTCTAAGCGCCACTCTGATACAAATGTTTACTCAAGTGGTTTACGTATCGAGCACTTTTCCAATTTTGTGAAAACTATTGAAAAATGTGAAAATGCCGCCAAGCTAAGCACAGTGTAAGTGAAAATGTTGCACAGAATTATTTGCAAATGCGTTTAGACTGTGACTAGATGGGAGCACTTTTTCAATTTTGTGTAAATCAGGCAACTATTTTTTTGTTGAAATTGAATTAAAAAATGTAAGAGAAAAAAAGAACTCTACTAACGAGCAAACTGAAATAAGAGACACAAGAGACTCTACTCTGACTAGTAAAACTAAATGTAAGAGAAAGCAGAAGGAACTCTACTGACGAGCTAACTAAAACTAAATTGAAACATGAACTACTTATGCCGAAAAATGAATTAAATCTGAATTTGAGGAATAAAAGGGATTCTGCTGAGAAATAAACAAAAAAGCAAGAGGAAAAAGAACTAAAATGGCGAAGTTTAAAAAAATTACAGATATTAATATAATAAAATTAGTATAATAATATTGATTAAAACAATAAAATTATGAATAAAATCGATTCAGTATTGTGAGCTAAAAGGTGGACGAAGAGTTTTACAATTTTATGCAAATTACAAAGAAACAGCTCGGCAGATCGTCGCGCAAAACTGAGAAACAATAGTCTTCATTGAGATACATAGAATGGCTTTTAAATTTTTAAAAACGGTCCAGTCGTTTTTGATATAAAATTATTACATCTTTTTTATTTTTCATAAAATATTTTGTAATTTTGGATTCAAAAATTCAAAAAATTGCCCAGGCTAAGCACAGTCTAAGCGCCACTCTGGTACAAATGTTCACCCAAGTGCGTTTAGACTAATTACTTCACTTAAAAATACAAAAAAATGTTCTTTATAGTAATATATTTTAAACCAAAATTAAATTTTTTCCAGTAACATTATTTTTAAATAAAATAATATAAAATTTTTAAGTTTTTTAAGTTACTGTTAAGGTGCTTTTTGCAGATCGTTAATTCTAAGCAAAAATCATATTTAAATTTTAACAGAAATTTTTAAGTTATTGTGTATTTATGTTGATTAAATAATTTATGCAATTTTATTTTGACGATAAATTAATATTGAAGTTTGTATGTAGAGTATTGCTCTATATGTATAATATTACATTTTTATTTAGTGGAGCACTTTTCCAATTTTGTGGGAAAAACTATTGAAAACGTGAAAATGCCGCCAAGCTAAGCACAGTATAAGTGAGAATGTCGCACAGAATTATTTGCAAATGCGTTTAGACTGTGATTATGCGGGAGCACTTTTTCAATTTTGTGCAAATTGGGCAACTATTTTTTTTAAATTGAATTCGAAATGAAATGACGATTGCTAATGTAAATTATGATTTATGTTTTATATTTGATTCGCTCAGATATAACAAAATAGCAAAAATAATCGAAGTTACAGTATTTGCAATAATATATATGAAAACGTTTGAAATTTCTCGAATATTTGATTACGGTACGGGAAGTTCCAGCAAATTGCCTTAAGGCACGATGTAATACACCACTAGTTTAACACAGAATGATAATTATAGTTATAATTCAATTATTACCCAATACTGGTTGGAACGTCGTTCCAGGCGCCATCTCCATCAAACTCGATGAAGCTTCGCTCAGTCTCAATAAAGTCTTTGGAGCAACGACAATCAAAGGTTTGCGGAAATTCCTAATAATCTGCAACAAAAAAACATAAAAAACTTTACTAATTTCTCTTTTTTACCAGTAGTATCTATTATTTTTTTACTTGTCTTCGGAGTAGATGGTAATATTGAGCAGGTGTAGTAGGATTTACGACGTGCATATTGACGTCATCACCATCAGGAGTAGTTTCACTACTATCAGTCATTTGCAAAAATCTTTCGATTCTGCAGGAGGAGTGCTCCGAGGCTGCTCCGTCGTAGCCGTGAGGTAGAAGCATGACCATGCCGTTGCAGTATAACCATTTTGCTGAAAAAAAACAATAATCAGATAAACAGACCAATGTTGTGGCAAGGATATGCTATGAAGAACTTTCCATACTAAATATTGACAAAAGCCATGCGGTTGGTGTGCAGTCAGGCGTGTTTCCCATAAAAAACCTAGCCTAGAAACCGCACAAATGTCAAAAAAACGATGTTATATAACAGGGTGTTTCTGATTCAGCTTCATAACATACGAGTGACGTTGCAGTTTACGTGTAAAACGCCTGAATGCACGGCAAATATATGACATTTTGACAGTATTTAGTATGATTCAGTAGCATAATGTATGCAAGTTAGAGCGTAACACGGCTTTGCCTTAACATTTTTCTGTTACGCGGCAGAATCTCTCCCTATATCTAAATTATCGACGTTGTAAACAAATATTGGTGGAGTTTTGTTTAACTTAGTTTGGTAGCGTCTTGCTGGACGAAAAATTCTTTTCATAATTTATGTTATGAATTAATCGAGTTAAAACAAAATTTTTATTAATCATATATAGAGTCAAGGGTGGTCGAAAGCCATGCGGTTGTGGTGCAGTCAGTCGTATTTCTCAGATTGTCGGATAGAAAACTTAACGTAGAAACCGCACAAATGTCAAAAAAACGATGGTAGATAACAGGGTCTTTCTGACCCAGCTTCATAACATACGAGTGACGTTGCAGTTTATGTGTAAAACGCCTGAATGCTCAGCAAATACATGATATTTTGACAGTATGATCCAGTAGCATAATGTATGAAAGTTGGAGCGTTAGTAATGTAATGAAAAAATCTAAACTCTAAACTATAGGATAAAAAAGAACTCTACTGACATATTGGAAAGAGAAGACTTTCTACATTACGTCAATAGTAAGAAGTTTTTGGTCCCAAAAATACAGGTTATGTACGATTTTTTTTTTCAAGAAAAGCAAATATGCAGGAAATTGAATAAATAAAAAAGTAAAAACCTTGTAAAATATTATAGGCTTGAGGAAAGTTGTAAAATATTATAGGCCTATGAAAATAATAAAATATTTCTAGCGAGTTAATATTGCTTTTGCAAAAATAAAACAAACGGATTTTAGAAATGCTATAGTGAATTATTTATGCCTCCAATTAAACTTTGTAAAATATTATAGGCCTATGTAAAAAAATAAAATACTTATAGGAGTGTCGTAAAATATTATAGGCCTTTGAAAGTTATAAAAATATTAAGTTTAAATTAATATAAAAGTTTATGAATGTTTTGGTAGAAATTCACAGATGTTTAAAATTCATCATCAAAACACTTGGCCACAATATTATAAGCCCAAGAAAAGTTGTGAAATATTATAGGCCTAAGAAAAGTCATAAATTATTATGAGCCTATGATTTTTTTCCAAAATTTACTTACGCGCTAGTTAATGTACGTTTTTGCAAAATGATCTTTTAATAAATTTTGAAAATTCAATAGTAATGAGTTTGTAGTTCGAAAGGAATGCTGTAAAATATTATAGGCCTATAAAAATGATTACCAATTCTAAAAATGGGTTGCGCGGTAGTTAATAAATGTTTTTGCAAAAATATGACAGATTTGGAAAATTTGATGATAAAAAAAATGTAATATATTATAGGCCTAAGGAAAATTGTGAAATATCATAGGCCTAAAGAAAGTCTTGAAATATAATAGACATATGAAAATAATGAAACATTTCAAAGTTGGGCTAAACACATTTTTTCTGAAATTCATTAGTATTGGACTTGAGATTCAAGATAAATATCGTAAAATATTATAGGCCTAAGGAAAGTTGTGAAATATTATAGGCCTAAAGAAAGTTGTGAAATATTATAGGCATATAAAAATAATAAAACATTTCAAAGTTGGGCTAAACACATTTTTTCTGAAATTTATTAGTATTGGACTTGAGATTCGAAATAAATATTGTAAAATATTATAGGCTTAGGGAAAGCTGTAAGCTGTGTTATAGGCCTATGAAAATAATAGAGGATTTTAAAATGGATTGCGTGTAAGTTAATAATTGCTTTTGCAAACATGTGACATTTTGAAAATTTGTTGATAAAAACTTACTAAAATATTATAGACCTGAGAAAAGTTGCAAAATCGCAATTGAAATTGAATAATTAGTTTAGGTGTAAAATATACTAAAAAAATATACAGTAAAAAGTTAACTAGAGACAAATTCATTTACAAAAACTTACTTTCTCCACTTGCAATAAACGTATCAATCAAAATCTGTGCACCATTGAAAAAGTCACCAAATTGGGCTTCCCAAATAATTAAATTATTTGGATTGTCTATAGCCATTCCGTACTCAAAACCTAAAACTGCTTCTTCGGATAAAATACTGTTTGCAACCTAAAAGGATACGAACAATTAATAATTATTAAGTTATTAAATAAATTAATTATTAAATAAATAATTATTAAGTCAAACTGTGAAAATGTCTATCAAATTGCTGTGCGATCAGGCGTATTTTACATATAAACAAAGCAAGCATCGGCGATTCTGTTATCGAACATGCCCCCGGACTTGTTTTTTTGTAAAATGCGCCTGAACGCACAGCAAATAAATAGACATTTTCACTTTATTTCACTTTTGCCATGACAAAACAAATTCAAATTAAGGCACGTAAAATATTATAGGCCTAAGAAAGTTGTAAAATATTATAAGCCTAAGAAAATTTGTAAAATATTATAGGCCTATGAAAACAATAAAAAAAATAAAAAATTAGGCTGCAAGCTTGTTAATAAATGTTTTGCAAAAAACAACTGATTTTGAAAATGCAATTATTGAAAACTTTGTTAAATATTATAGGCCTAAGGAAAGTGGTAAAATATTATAGGCCTATAAAAAGTTGTAAAATATTATAGGCCTATAAAAATAATAATAACGAATAAACTTTATATTAAGGTATTAAAATAACAGATTTTGAAAATGCGATGTTTAAAAACTTTGTAAAATATTATAGGCTTAAGGAAGTTGTAAAATATTATAGGCTTAAAGAAAAAAGTAAAATTTTATAAAGCCTTAAAAAATAAAAAAATATTTCAAAACTGGATATAAGTGCTAAACATCAAAAATATTATAAGTTCCAAAAAAAAAGTTCCAAAATATTAATAACATAAGTTGTAAAATATTAGAGGTCTATGAAATTAATAAAATTAATTTAGGGTTTTTAAAATATAGCTTATATGTAATGTCATGGCAAAAGTTGTGAAAATGTCTATTTATTAGCTGTGCGATCAGACGCAATTTATATATAAACAAAGCAAGGACGATGCATCATCGACGATTCTGTTATCGAACATGCCCCCGGACTTGTTTTTTTGTAAAATACGCCTGATCGCACAGCAAATAGAAAGACATTTTCACAACTTTTGCCTATGTTATGAGCCAGAATTTTCTTATACTTACTTCCAATTTTCCACCAAGACCTCCTTCCATCGAATTTAAAGGTATAAACATTTCATTTGACTTTTGATCGACCAACATTACATGTCGATGCGAAAAGGTACCTCTACCAACATCTTCACCACTTATACGCACGTTGTGCCCTTGGTACATCAAACTACCTAAAAAGGGTAAAAATAAAAAAGGGTAAAAAATATTTCATTTAATATGCCACTATCAACTATCCTTTAACCTACCTATTGCCATCGCTTCAGCAGTCGCCCAGTCGATTTTTTCGCCGTCGTTCACTTTTTTGATGCGGTTTGCTATGTGGTGCTTTTTTAGAGTTGGGTGAACATTCTAAGGAAAAAAGGGGTAGAAGATTTATTTTTTGTGGTTTATTTATTTTTATTTATTTATTTATTTATTTATTTATTTATTTATTTTTTCATAAGCAAGCCGTAATCAATAATAATAGATATTATTTTAGTCTCTTGTCAAGCTTATTCATAATTAATATTAGAAGGATAGTAATTTTATAATAATCGTAATAGCTGCACAAATTTAGCTTCTGAAAAAAAAGAGCTGAAAAGGGGTAAAAGATTGGATTTTTTATAATAATATATAATTTTAAGGGTACTTACGAAATCTTCGGGGTATTTCACTGAATTTTGGCCTATGTACATTAGTAAAGATGGATCCACTCCTGTGTCCCATTCTGTGATTGCACTTGGTGCTTGTTGAAAACCTTGCCATTGTTTTTTTAAGTACGACTCCTAAAATAATAAATTTAATTTATAATTTTTAAGGGAAAATTAAGCTTGTTTCTTGGTAGTGAAAACTGTGAAAATGTGTATCTATTTACTGTGCGATCAGGCGTATTTTACATATAAACAAACACAGAAAGAATCTCATGTTGAGAGAATCTCTAAACGTTCCCCCTTACTCGTTTTTTTGTATAATACGCCTGATCGCACAGCAAATAGATAGACATTTTCATTGTTTTTAGTACCAAAACAGAAGGAAAGTATAGCGTTGCCATAACAACGCTATGTTATTAGGCAGGATATTGTATGTGTAAAATAAATCGACATTTTAAGTCACTTTGAATAGTTTGGGATAAAAGTTAGAAACTTTATATATAAGTTTGTTAATGCAAGTTTCACTCATATATATATATATATATATATATATATATATATATCTACATATATATGATATTTTTAATAATAATTTTAATAAAAAAAGTTGGTGACCCCTCAAAATATTATAGGCCTATGAAAACTTGTAAAATATTATTTTTAAAAAAACATGAACGCATTTTGAAAATGCATGGAACAGTATTGAGGTTAAAAATAAAGCGAGTAAAACATTACAGGCCTATGGAAAATTATAAATAAATTATTATAGGTCTAAGAATAGTTGTAAAATATTACAGGCCCATGGAAAGATGTAAAATATAGGCCTAGGAAAAATTATAAAATACTATAGGCCTACAATAATTGTAATAAATTAATAAATCATGAATACATTTTGTAAAATTCATTGGCAATAGACTTGAGATTCGAAATAATCCGGTAAAATATTACAGGCTCAAGAAAGTTGTAAAATATTATAGGCTTATGAAAACAATAAAAAAACTAAAAATTGGGCTACACGCTAGATTAATAAATGTTTTACAAAAAATGACAGATTTTAAAAATTTAATGATAGGTGAAATATTATGGGCCTAAGGAAAGTGGTGAAATATTATAGGCCTATGAAAAGTTGTAAAATAATAATAACAATAAACTATATTTTACAATATTAAAATATAAGATTTTGAAAATTCGATGTTTAAAAACTTTGTAAAATATTATAAGCCTAAGGAAAGTTGTAAAATATTATAGGTCCATGAAAATAAGAAAATATTTCAAAATTGGTTATTAGTGGTACTTAAAAAAATATTTTTACGAGAACCTCAAAAATATTATAGGCTTAGGAAATGTTCTGAAATAATACAGACATGTAAAGTTGTAAAATATTAGAGGCCTATGTGTAAAATAATAAAAAATAATTTCTAGACAGATTTAAATTAACAAAATTGCATGGGTCCAAATAAAACCTGTAAAATATTATAGACCTAAGATAAGTTGTGAAATATTAGAGGCCTATGATATTAATAAAATATTTCGAAACAATGGATTTCAAAAGATAGCCTATATGTAATAACAAAAAAATAAATTCTAGACATTTTAAAAATGCAAAAGTAAAAAATTAGCGAGTCCAAACAAAACTTGTAAAATATTATAGGCCTATGGAAAGTCGTAGAATTATTAAAATCAATTTTATGTTTGAAAATTTTTGTATTGCTTTGTAATAACTAATTAATTATTTAATAATGGTAAAAACCTTAAGATCAGAATAAAGCGCATAAAATATTATAGGCCTATGAACTATATATAAAATGAATCAAATTTTGCAAAAAATTAGCGCTTTTTTATCAAAAATATTCATAAAAAAATAATTTCAACATATCAAAATTTCAATCAACAGATTTTGATGATTTTCGAAAAATATTATAGGCATATGAAAATTTTGGATAATGATGAAACTTAAATTTATTGGGCAATTCTGCCTTATAAAATAGCGGCAATGATATCTTATACTTGTTTCTTGTTAGTGAAACTGTAAAAATATCTAAATATTTGCTACGTATTCTATATATAAATATGCAAGAAATAATGTTATGATAACTTCACCAACTAGAATTCAGTTATTGTAACATCCTGCCTTGCTTTTTTATATGTAAAATACGCCTGATTGCGCGGCAACTAGAGAGACATCTTCATAATTTTCAATACCAAGAACAAGCATTAATTTAAATTAGATATATATTAGTTCACTAATTAATATATATTTTTGCAAAAGTTTTAGAAAAAATTATGAAAATTATTTGCGAATAGACGTGAAGGTTCATAAAATATTATAGGCCTATGGGAAATATTGGCCTGTTCTAATAATTAAATAAAATTGCGTTAATGAGTTTGCGCGATAGTTAATAATTATTAATTATAAAACACCGTAAAATATTATAGGCCTATGCTCACTACTTTTACCTCTGGTTCATAACTATCGACAGTCTGCAATTCTCCATTAAGATAATCCGTGTAATCTTTTGCAATTTTGGAAACTTCTTCGGACGTTAAAATGCCTTGTGAGACTAGTTTTTCGCTATACAAATCTGGAACTGACCTAAAAACATAAAAAACATTTATAGGAAACTTTTGAGAGTCGCACTAAAAGTATAACTTCACCCATACTCACTTTCTATTATGTATAATATTATACAGAGACGGATTAGTAAACGTAGGGTCATCCAATTCATTGTGGCCCCACCTTCTGAAACAATTTAGGTCCACAAAAACGTCTTTTCTGTAACGCCTTTGATACTCAAAGGCCAGACGTGTGGCCTTGCAAACCATCTAAAATAATTTAACCACATTAATATCAATATGTATTATTGTTTTTTTTTAAGTAAAACTTCTTTAGGCGCGACTAGGGTGTAAATCCGTACAAATGCAACAAAAATTGTTACGGCAAGGTCAAGTGAAAGTCATTCGCTCTCGATGAAATCATTTCTATACGGGTCGATTGTGATTAGTCGTCGTGTATGTAAATAGAAATCTGTCGTTGTATGCGTACCGGCATAGATAAATAAACATTCTTAAGTTACATCGTAGTACAAATCTTGATTTAATGAAAAATGCCCGAATCAGAAAAATATTTTACCCCGTTTCTTGAAAATATTAAAACAAATTAAACATTTGTGCCATGTACTAAACGTAAGTTTATTGAATAGAAATTATCTCTATATTGATATAGATAATGTTTTTATAGACAAGACAGATTCTAAAGCTGCTAAATGAAAAAATAAAAGAACTCTACTGACGAGCAAACATAATTTTAATTCAGAACATAAAAATGGACTCTACTGACAAGCAAACTTTAATTACAATCGAGTTGATAAAAAGGAACTCTACTGATGACTAAATTTCCAAATTAGTAAATATAAAAACTGACCGGTATAGATATAAAAGATATAGAAAGGAAACATAAAAAAGGACTCTACTGACGAGGAAACTTCTGTTTAGTTTTGATCTCAAAGATTGAAAAGAACTTTACTGACAAGCAAATGAAAAATCGAATAGTTAAAATATGATCATAAATTTTATCTTAAAGTTTAAAAAAGATTCTACTGACAAGCCAACAAAGTTTTGATCGATGAGAACTCTACTGACGATCAAATTTGAAACTAGCAAATATAAAAAGAACTCTACGAACAGGCAAACTAAAAGTTGACAAAAAAGATCAAAGGACTATTTGACATGCAAACTTTAATTTCAACTTAGAAGAAGAAAAAGGACTCTACTGGTGAGCAAATTTAATTTAGATACTTAAAAGGGACTGTACTGATAAGCAAAAATATTAATGAAAAATGTTTTGTAATAGAGACTCTACCGACAGGCAAAATAAAAGTTGACAAGAAAGATCAAAGGACTACTTGACAAGCAAACTTAAATTTCAATTTAGAAAAAGAAAAAGGACTCTACTGGTAAGCAAATTTAATTTAGATACTAAAATGGAATGTACTGATAAGTGAAAATATTAACGAAAAATGTTTTGTGAAAAGGACTCGACTGACAAGCAAATTATTAATTAATTTCAATCTAGAGGAAAAGAAAAGGACTCTACTGACGAGTAAAGTATGAATAAGAAATGTCTCTAAAAAAGGACTTTACTGACGAACAATATATGAACAAGAAATGTCTCTAAAAAAGAACTCTACTGACGAGCAAACTCAATTTTAATATAAAATATTTAAAAATGGACTTTACTGGCGACCAAATTTGAAATTCGTAAATATAAAAAAAGACTCTACTGTCGAGCAAACTAAAAATTGACAAAAAAGGCAACAGGGACTCTACTGACAAGTGATCAAATAACTTGATAGAAATGTACAAAATTTATCTAAAAGACTAAAAAGGGACTCTACTGTTGAGCAAAATTATTAATATTGAATTAGTTGAAAAAAAGACTCAAACTTATTAATATTTAATGACTTGAGAAGCGGATTCTACTGTTATAAAAAAGGACTCTACTGACGTGCAAATCGAATATAGTCTGGAAAAAAGTAAAAAAAATTACAAGCAGTCAATGAATGTATGTTAATTTTAATTACATGAAGTTCTTCAAACACAATTATTACTCTAATCTAGGTTCGTTTCTAAATGAAGGTTCAAGTCCTAAATGCTAATTACAATGACAAACCGATCGTGTCGTATTTGAAGTATGACGTCAATTACATTATTGTTTTCAAACATTATAAACATTTTTAATGCTATTATTAATATATAATTTATAATTTATCATTATATAAATGTGTATAATGATTGACGACACTAATAAATGTGTGCATCACGAGTGTTACCCACAATATTACTAATAGACATTATTCAAAATTGTTATTTGATGTATTTATTTTTACTTAAATGCCATCTTAAAGTTTTACTTCAATCGCGTGTGAACCATACGCGCACTCTTTTTTTATTTATATTTATTATTTACCTCTGGGTTGTCACCATTTACGTGCAGTACTGGCGCACAAATACTTTTGGCCAAATCGGTGCAATATTTGGTCTGACGTCCACGGTCGCCTGGAGTTGTAAAACCAACCTAGGAAAAGATAGAATGAAAAAAAAGTTTTTTTCTTGCCGAGTTATAAACCTTGCGGAACTCCAGAATGTAAATTCTAATAGTAACTCACTTGGTTATTTATGACCATGTGTATAGTTCCTCCAATTTCGAATTGTGGCGTCCCTGTCATCATAAGACATTCCTGGTTGATACCTTGTCCTGCAAATGCAGCATCACCATGCATCTAAAATGTATACAAAAGTCATAAATTGCAATATACTATATAATAGACTAATGTTATGGCAAGGCTATGTTATGAAGAACTTTCCGTACTAAATATTGACAAAAGCCATGCGATCGCAATCAAGCGTATTTCTCATAGAAAGCCTAGCCTAGAAACCGCACAAATGTCGAAAAAACAATGTTTGATAACAGTGTGTTTCTGACTCGGCTTCATAACATACTTCAAATACGACACGATCGGTTTGTCATTGTAATTAGCATTTAGGACTTGAACTTTCATTTAGAAACGAACCTAGATTAGAGTAATAATTGTGTTTGAAGAACTTCATGTAATTAAAATTAACATACACTCATTGACCGCTTGTAATTTTTTTACTACGATATTTAATTTGCACGTCAGTAGAGTCCTTTTTTTAGAACTTTGCTCGTCAGTAAAATCCGCTTTTCAAGTCATTAAATATTAATAAGTTTGAGTCTCTTTTTCAAGTATTTTAATATTAATTATTTTGCTCGTTAGTAGAGTCCCCTTTTTGTCTTTTATATCAATTTTGAACATTTCTATCAAGGTATTTGATCACTTGTCAGTAGAGTTCCTTTTGTCTTTTTTGTCAATTTTTAGTTTGCTCGTCAGTAGAGTCTTTTTTTATATTTACGAATTTCAAATTTGGTCGCCAGTAAAGTCCATTTTAAAATATTTTATATTAAAATTGAGTTTGCTCGTCAGTAGAGTTCTTTTTTAGAGACATTTCTCATTGATATTTTGCTTGTCAGTAGAGTCCCTTTCTTCTCTTTTAGATTAAAATTAAAATGTGCTCGTCAGTAGAGTCCTTTTCTTTTCCTCTAGATTGAAATTAATTAATAGTTTGCTTGTCAGTAGAGTCCCATTACAAACATTTGATCAAAATTGAGTTTGCTCGTCAGTAGAGTTTTTTTTAGAGACATTTTCCTCTAGATTGAAATTAATTAATAATTTGCTTGTCAGTAGAGTCCCATTACAAACATTTTATTAAAATTGAATTTGCTCGTCAGTAGAGTTCTTTTTAAGAGACATTTCTTATTCATATTTTGCTCGTCAGTAGAGTCCTTTTCTTTTCCTCTAGATTGAAATTAATTAAGAATTTGCTTGTCAGTAGAGTCCCTTTTACAAAACATTTGTGTTAATATTTTTGCTTATCAGTACAGTCCCTTGTAACCTAACGTAGAAACCGCACAAATGTCAAAAAAACGATCTTTGATAACAGGGTCTTTCTGACCCGGCTTCATAACATACGAGTGAAGTTGCAGTTTATGTGTAAAACGCCCGAATGCACTGCAAATACATGATATTTTTACAGTATTCAGTACGATTCAGTAGCATAATGTATATTGATTCCCCAAGAAAAATAGTATGACATTTTTGCAAGTGCTGCTGCTCAATATCAGGTTGTCCAGAGAAAGATTTGGAGACATAGAAGTAGTGAATATTGGCAAATAATAATAAAATAATAAAAATAATAATAATAAATGCACTCATAAGATAATAATAATAAATAATAATAATAAATGCATATATATATATATAACATATAAAATTCTTCTGTACGGATGTATGAACTCAAACTCCGCCTAAACGGTTATTCGAATTTTGATAAATCATTTTAGAGTTTGTCAAGAGAAATTTTTAAGATGTAATAATAATTTTTAACAAGAACTATAAATACTTCTCTTAAACTATTATTATTATTTTGATAAATCTTTCTAGAGTTTGTTAAGGAAAATTTTTAAAATGTCATGAACTATGAATTTTTTATATAAAAATATAAATTTTTATGAAATTCTTCTGTACCGATGTATGACTTGATAATTCTCCCAAACGGTTATTCGAATTTTGATAAATCTTTCTAGAGTGTCAAAGAAAATTTTTAGGATGTCATGAATTATTAATCGTATATATAAAATTCTTCTGTACGGATGTGAAATTTAATGCTTTTTTTAAACGGTTATTCAAATTTTGATAAATCTTTCTGAAGTTTGTTAAAGAAAATTTTTAATATATAAATGATTATACAAATATTGTAGAAATAAATTGAAACAATTGCAAGGAATCATAATCAAATAATAATAATCAATGTCTGACATTGAAACTGTCATCTGCTAGAAATGTCAATTCACTTAAAATTTGAATTTAGCTGAAATTATGAGCCTAGATAATATTAGAATGTAATATACAAGAAAAATGTAATGTCTACATTATTATTGCCCAAAAGCAGCTGAGATGTGCCAGGAATTAAAATAATATAAATTACAGTATATGTTTTGGCAGATGAAATAATATAATTCTGTTTCACATATCACATTTTTAACTAATGCAGTCGTGTTTTGCCTTACTTTACCAAATCACAAGACAAAAAATTTTACTGATTCAAAAAATTATTTAGAAATTTCATTGTATTTCTTCATTGTATCAAGAATTTATTTATTTGTTTGGCATAGGATACAAAATATTCAGTTAGTTGATCGTAGATTGAATAGTGCTCACATTAAAACAACTTGACAAATTAATAATAAATTAAGTAATAAATTGCTATCAAAATTACAAGTGCTAAAAGTGTGCTATCACAGATGGTGCAAAAATTTACTTAATGACATATGTTAATAATAAATATACAAAACTTTCAATTGAATCGCGGACTATCTAAATGTTAATATTAAGAGCTAAAAACTTTTAAAGAATTTTTCTTTATTACTTTGGAAGCATTTGAGCCCCTGGGAGCAAAAAAATTTGAAAATGTCCATATTAAGGACCACCCTAATATATATATTATATTTACCTGTACGTTTAGAACTTTGTCGCCCCATCTCTGTGTAGGAAAATTTGAAAAAGAGCCATCCTGAGTGGTCATCTGTTTGGATCTAGTTTTACCCATAGAAACTGGATTGACTGCCTGGCTTAAAAGTGCACATCATTAATAGACAAAAAATATCAAGATAAACTTCTTTGAACAAAAGTCTATCTATTTGCTGTGCGATGAGGCGTATTTTACATATAAACAAATCAAGAAAGCATCATCAACGATTCTGTTATCGAACATGCCGCCGTACTTGTTTTTTTGTAAAAAACGCCTGATCGCACGACAAATAGATAGAGGATCATTAATAGACAAAAAATATCAAATAGAAAGAACGTCTCTGAACAAAAGTCTATTCATTTGCCGTGCGTTCAGACGTATTTTACATATAAACAATCAAGAATCACCGAAGATTCTGTTATCGAACATGCCGCCGGACTTGTTTTTTTGTAAAATACGCCTGATCGCTCGGCAAATAGATAGATTATAAAAGTGCTGAAAGAACTTGAGTTTGAGTCATTTATTACCTCAAGATGTGATGGATTATGCAACATTGATACATGAAGAGTCTTGCCATCGATTTTTAAATCCACGGAAGCATCTACAAACAAAACAAAATATTAGTACACTTTATCAAATTACATTTTCGGCTACAATTTTTTGGCCTTACTGAAATGACTAGCTATATCACACATAGCCTTGGCAGTCGGAGGAAATTCAGGAAAGCCTTTAAACTTCTTGAACATTTTTTTTGGTGGACATTTTAGCAAACCGGTGAGAAAATTGAATTTGCCACGATGGGCTGCACCCAAAACCATGTGCTCCAAATTATCTAAAAGAAAAAAAAATTGTTAAAAAACAATTTTTACTAGAAAATTTTGGCTTATAACATAGCATTGTCATGGCAACACTATCTTCTACTCGTTTCTTGTTAGAGAAAATGTCCATCAAGTTGCTGTGCGATCAGGCGTATTTTACATGAAAACAAGTCCGCAGGAATGTTCTGGTAACAGATATAACATTTAATTTTGACATTAAGAGATCAAAACGCTGTGGAATGACAGTTGTCTATTTTATTTTATTTTTAACATTTACTAATTTGTAGTAAATAAAAACCAATTTCATTGAAATTGTAAAAATCAAGTATTTGTGCAAAAGTCGCATTTTTTTGCAGACCCGGACACGCTTTGCTGTGGTTTTTATAGCCTAAAAGTTTATAATTTGAGAGTCTTATAGAATGTTTAAAAGATTTAGATTATTTTAATAAGATTCTAAAAAGAATCTTACAAAATCTAATTCAGTATCTAATATAAATGTAAGAATTTTATAATTGAAACTATATTGAATCTAGGAAATTTATAAATATAACAAGAATCTAATATAGATAATAACAATGAGATAACATATATCAAGACTAGGGTTTATACAAAAACCGACATTTCAGAAAACCGGTTTTCGAATTTTAATTTCACTAAAAAACCGGTTGTTTTCACCAGTTTTCGAATTTTATATAGAAAATAAAATTTTGCTCGAATATTCTGTATTTATCCGCAAAATTTAGTGTAATTTAGAGCAGAATTTGTAAGATAGTAAACAAAATTATTGTAATTTTAATTAGTAGAACTAAAAAATAATAGTTTATCTTGATTAAATAACTTTGAAAATAATTATTCGTTATTCATGCATCATTTTCACATATAAGAATGAAAATATTGTTATGATTGTGAAAGGAAAGTTTTCAAATAAATGAAAATAATACATTTCTAAATAAAAAAAATCATTAAATTAAAAAACATATGATGCATGTTGACACATATTAGTTAATATCAATTTTAATGTTAAAAACAATTAGCTAAACTTGAGTATTGTCTGTTCCGAGCAATTTTAATTAATCAATTTCAAACATAAATGTTTTTTTGTTTAATAAAATATGATTTCAAGAAACTGAGAACGTCTATCGAATTGCTACTTCGACGGGTCATTTGTTCACTCACAAAATAAATTTTCCTGAAATAGAAAATACTCTCATAGTAGCGACCAAATTATGCTTAATTATTTTTAAAGCTTGATATAATAATTCTAAGTTTTTTGTTCTTTTATTTGTGGTTTCTAGCGTTTAAAACTCTTTTTTTAGGTTTTAGTAGAGAAAGTTACTTCTTCAAGAAGAAGTCGCACTGATTTAAATTAATACATACACTGGTATAAAAATCTAAAAAAATATATACAAAACATTTCTAGGAACCATTGCAGACTGATAAGATATCAAATGCTATTGAACCGATATAATTTCAAGAATCAAAACGCTTTCATCTATCTTTAATACTTGGCTATATTTGTCATTTTCCATTTATACAGCGAAAACCGGCTTTTTTCACCAGAAAACCGGTTTTCGAATTTCATAATTTTGCCAAAAAACCGGTTTTTGAAAATCGACAAACCCTAATCAAGACTTATGCATCATTGCAGATTCTGTTATCGAACATGCCCTCGTGCTTGTTTTTATGTAAAATACGCCTGATCGCATAGCAAACAAACAGACATTTTCACCGTTGCCATGACAATGCTATGTTCTGAGGTACAATTGTCCCCTTACTGTGTTATCTTTTACCTTTAGCTGATAGTTTCAAAATTTCATTTAAAAACACCAAAAGGCTCTCAGCTCCTTCACCGCCATATCGTTTTAATGATCCAAATTTTGTGGCTAAAAAGTTGTCCCATGTCTGGGACTTTACCAAAAGTTCGGCAAAAACTTTGCGATCTTCGTTCGTGCATTCTTGACTTGGTAAAGTTTCGAAGTTCTTGGCGAACCATTGGAGTTCTTCTTCACTCTAAAAGAAATCAAACTTAACAATTAAATACATCATTATATACAACCTAGTGTTTGTGGTTTGTATGCAATAGTCATATATAAATGTATATATTGATTTATACATCATTATATATGGTCTAGTCCATGTGGTTTGTATGTAAATCCCATATATAAATGTATATATTGATTTATACATCATTATATATGGTAAGTCTATGTGGTTTGTATCCAAATCTCACATATAAATGTATATATTGATTTATACATCATTATATATGGTCTAGTGTATGTGGTTTGTATGTAAATCTCATATATAAATGTATATATTGATTAATACATCATTATATATGGACTAGTGTATGTGGCTTGTATGTAAAACTCATATATAAATGGATATATTGATTTATACATTATTATATATGGCCTAGTGTTTGTGGTTTGTATGCAAATCTCACATATAAATGTATATATCGATTTATACATCATTATATATGGTAAGTCTATGTGGTTTGTATCCAAATCTCATATATAAATGTATATATTGATTTATACATCATTATATATGGACTAGTGTATGTGGTTTGTATGTAAATCTCATATATAAATGTATATATTGATTTATACATCATTATATACAACCTAGTGTATGTGGTTTGTATGGAAATCTCATATATAAATGTATATATTGACTTATACATCATTATATATAGCCTAGTATATGTGGTTTGTATGAAAATCTCATATATAAATGTATATATCGATTTATACATCATTATATATGGCCTAGTGTTTGGGGTTTGTATGGAAATCTCATATTGATCTCTCAATATTATACATATATAAATGTATATATATTATATTTATTTACCGCTGAACCACATGATAAATGCCATCTTTTTAGTGATTGCTTTTGAGGATAAAAAATTATTACACCTTTTTTTATTTTTCATAAAATAATTTTGTAATTTTGGATTAAAAATTGAAAAAATTACCCAGGCTAAGCACAGTCTAAGCGCCGCTCTGGTACAAATGTTTACCCGAGTGCGTTTAGACTGTTTATGAACTGGAACGTTTTTCCAGTTATGTGAAAAACTATTGAAAAATGTAAAAATGCCGCCAAGCTAAGCACAGTGTAAGTGAAAATGTCGCAAAGAATTATTTGCAAATGCGTTTAGACTGTGACTATACGAGAGCACTTTTTCAATTTTGTGCAAATTGGGCAACTATTTTATTTTTTGAAATTGAATTCGAAATGAAATGACGATTGTTAATGTTCTGGAGATAAATTGATTTATGATTTACATTTGATTTGCTCAGATATAAAAAACAAGATAGCAAAAATAATGAACGTTACAGTATTTGTAATAATATATTTGAAAACGTTCAAAATTTCTCGAATATTTCATTACGGTACGGGAAGTTCTAGCAATTTGCCTTAAGGCACGATGCCATACACCACTATTTATTATTATTATTATTAGGTGTCATAGGTGTTTTTTTATTACCTCGATATAGTCGAATTCGGCGCTAATTTCTCCGCAATAAACATCCCTTAAAAATTGAGAGGCTTCTTTAACAGTTCCACTTTCTGTATTTGAACCAAGGATGCCCCTAAAATTCAGCTGATCCGACTCTGTCAATCCGTATCTGGATTCGTTTAATACTGGCAATGTACTAAAAAATAATAGTAATGATTAAACTAAAGCTTTATTCACTTATTACAAGATGATTTTAAAAAAAATCGAGAACTTAGAGATATTTTTACTCTTCTTATAATATTTATTTTAGAGGAAACTGATAGATATTCAACAGTTAGTCAACATATATGAGTGTGTGTGTGTGTGTAAAATGTATGTATGTGTGTTTGGATACAATTTTTCTAGTAAGAAGAAATTCAGTTTTTAAGTTTGAATGGACAATTTTATAGTATATATATATATATATATATATATATATATATATTTCAAATAATAATATTTTTTTCCAATTTCCTACAATTTCAATTTTTAAAATTATACAAATATTCTACATGTTTTAAATTTTATATAAATAAAAATCTGGAAATTTCGTAAAGTTCTGAAAAGTTTTAAATTTCTAAATTTCTGAAAATTTTGATTTTTTTTGGAAAGTTTGATATTTTCTTGGAAAAAAACTGTGAGTTTAATATTTTTTTGGAAAAAATGAATTGGCCTTGTAAAATTTGGTAGTTTCTTGAAAAGCTTGATATTTTTTTGGGAATTTCATTATTTTCTTGCAAATCTTGTGAAGTTTGACCTTTTCTTGAAAAGTATGATATTTTAAAGGTTGATTTTTTGCAAAGTTTGATATTTGCTTGAAAAGTTTCATATTTTGTGAAAAGTTTGATTTTGTTATGTAAATTTAAATATTTTCTTAAATTGTGATACTGGCTTGAAAACTTTGGTTTTTGCCTGAAACTTCTAATATTTTTTTCAAAATTATAATATATTATTTAATAATTTTATATTTTTGCTGAAAAGTTTGATACTTTCTTAAAAATTTTTATACTTTCTTGAAAAGTTTTAAAATTTTAATATTTGACTAAAATTATTAACATTTTTTAGGACACTTATGCATTTTAAGGAAGTTTGTGTTGCTTTTGAAAAGTTTTATATTTTCTTAGAAAATTTGATATTTCTTCAAAAAAAAATAAAATTATCTTAAGAAGGAAAGTATCATATCTTGGAAAAAAAATTTAGTAAGTAATATTCTCTAAGGAAGTTATATTTTATCTAAGAAAGTTTTATATATTTTGAAACAGCGTGACATAGTACTATCAAAAAACTTTTGAAAAGTTTCATATTTTATTGGAAAATTTGATCCAACTTGAAAAGATAGATAATTTTTTCAAAAGTTAGATTTTTTAGATAAGTTGTATATTTTTAGGTAAGTTATACATTTTGTGTAAATTTGTATATTTTGTGCAAAGTAGTTGTGTAATAATTTGTGAAAAATATTTTGTGGAAAGTTATATATTTTTTTGAAGTTAGAAATTTATAAGTAAGATAATATATATATATATATATATATATATATATATACATATTCAAAAATTTGAATATTTTCGTTCATTAATTAGTTATTGCACATACTTCTACACCTGTAGATAAGCAAAAATGTTTCTTATCACAAATATAATCGTTATCTTTATCGTTATCACGATTTTGTTTAATGTCGTGTGCGCTGATAATAATTAAAAATTCGATATAACATTTGATACTTAGGAATGTCAAATGCTTGGAAAAATAAAGCATGGAAACAATTGTACGAAATAAAAATATCTTCTTTATCAATCATAAAATCCATTCATGTGATGGAACAGGGATTGAGATAAAATAAATACTTGCGATAAAAATATTTTTTTGTTCTTCATTCAAATTTGATCATCTAGTTAACTTCAAACAGACTATATTCAAATTAAACACATCTAACTAATATTAACTTCCCGAAGGAGAAGTTTATGTTTTCATCAAATAATCCGAATTGCTAATTTTATGTTTTCTCGACGTTTCGAGCCATTCTGAATCGAATGAGACCGACTTTGGAAAAAGTATGTGTGTGTGTGTGTGTGTGTGTGTGTGCGTGTATGTGAACAGATTTTTTGCCGTAAATCGACGTTTTCTCGAAAACGGCTGGGTCGATTTCAAAAATTTAAAAGCCACTCGATGTATCTCGATGAGGACTATTGTTTGTTAATTTTGTGCGACGATCGGCCAAGCCGTTTCTTCATAAATCGCAGAAAAGTGAAAAATTTTTCGTCTACGTTTTAGCCCGCAATTCTGAATCGATTTCAAAAATTCAAAAACCGTTCGAAAGATATTGGTTGGGAATCGTGCTGATTAGTTTTTGGTCGAGATCGGCCGGGCCGTTTTCTTGTAATAAAGTTTGCAAAAATTAGTATGATCTTTTTGGCATTTGTCAAAATTAGAACTTTCATCGACGTTTGCTCAAAAACGGCCGGACCGATTTCAGATATTTAAAAAGCATTTGATGTATCTAGATGAGTATTATCGTTTCTCAGTTTTGTGCGACGATCGGCCGAGCCGTTTCTTTGTAATTTGGAAAAAAGTGTTAAACCTTTCGTCCACATTTAAGCTTATACTACCGAACTGATTTTGAAAAATCCAAAACTGTTCGAAAGATATTAGTTGGGAATGATACTGATTAGTTTTAGGTGAAAATCTACCGAGCCGTTTTCTTGTAATTAACTGTTGAAAAAAAGTGTTAAACTTTTCGTACACATTTAAGCTCATCCTACCGATCCGATTTTAAAAAATCAAAATCTGTTCGAAAGATATTAGTTGGGAATGGTACTGATTAATTTTAGGTGAAAATCTACCGAGCCGTTTTCTTGTAATGAACTGTTGAAAAAAAAATTTCATGAAACTTTTTTTGACGATATACATCATGGTCTTATAGAACTTACTGTAATATTACGGCCTTACGACAAGTAGTTTAATTTTTAAAATTTGTCAAACTTTGCTAAAATTATTACCGTTTTTTTTAATGTAGGATTGATAAAGTATATCATTTACACTTTTTTTCTTGATTAAGTCGATTGTTTACACATATCGGGAAGTTCATGTAACTTGCCTCAAGGCTAAATACCAAACCAACTAGTTTTATACAATTTTATTTCAACAATTCAAATTCTATTTAATTTTATTTCAACAATTCAAATTCTATTTAATTTTAATTCAACATTTCAAATTCTAGGTATTGCCAGGGATCGAACCGACGAACTCTGGCGTACAAGCCGGACAAAAAAAATAAATTAAAATTAAATTTAAATTAAATTTAAATTAAATTTAAATTAAATTTAAATTAAATTTAAATTGAATTTAAATTAAATTTAAATTAAATTTAAATTAAATTTAAATTAAATTTAAATTAAATTTAAATTATATTTAAATTAAATTTAAATTAAAATTAAATTAAATTAATTTGCATTATTACCTGGGTATTTGTTTAAAATTAACAGGATCCACATTTGCAATTTTGTGACCGTGTTTTCTATACGATTCTACCCATCTGTAAAAGTTGCATTGTTTTTGCCTAGACTGCAATTCTTCTTCGGAAACTAAAAAAAATTAAATTAAATTAAATAACAAATTTTCTTTAAAAACTAAAAAAATATATATTATATAAATTAAATAGCAATTTTTTCTTTTGAAACTAAAATAGAACAAATTCTAATTTTAGTTACAGTATTTTTTGTTTTAAATTATTTATATATTCTATCTGATAAATTAATAGACTTCAAAAAATAATAGTAAATATCTAAATCAACAGGTTTAAATAATTAACTTAAATAATTAAAATAAATAGTAGAATGTAATTTAATAGATTAATTAAGTATTTAGAAAAATAGAGTGTAATAAAAGTTTTGATATTTGATTGAATATTGATATGTATTGAACATTTAAAATTTTATATAAATTATTTCATTTACACGCCAGGACGTTTATGTCACATAAAACTGCTTTTTTAATTCCATTATCAAATTTTATGATTTTCTAATTTATTTCGTATAATTTTTTTGTGACAATTATAAGTTTTGTAAAAAATTGATTCTATTCATCTAGTTATCTTATCTTATCATTTTTCTCATGGGTATTCTCTAAATATAAGATTGCATAAGAGATCTTATCAATTTTGCTAGAGATACATGTGATCCTCATGATAACCCAGAAAATTCTGTTTTATTTTGTTAAAGTAGTAAATTATGAAATGAATATATATATATATATATATATATATATATATATATATATACATTGATTTAAAAAAAAACATGTTATATTTTATCATAAAGCATATTTATTTCACAAAAATAAAACGCAACTACTTTTATTTTAAAAATTCAAGCGTTTATAATAATAATATATTATGGTTATTAAAATGTACTTTTACGTTTAAATTTGTATTTTTACTAATTTTATACTCTTGTATAAAAGGACAAGATGGTATAAAAAATAATACAGTTTCAAAAATATATCAAAAGTTCTTGGTTAATATTTTGATTTTTTTTTTGTATTTATTAATTTTAACTTTAACTACTTATTACAGAACCCTAAATTATGTAAAGAATTGACATGCATTTTTAAAATTTGAAGAAACCTTAACTAAATTAAAAAAAAAATATTTTCTTAAACAGAATCTTATTAGATTACTATGAGAATCTTATAAATCTTGAATAAGAAGCTTACAAGTTTCCTATGAAAATCTGATAAGAATTTTGTAAATTTAATAAATATAAAATACTTGTAAAACTTTTTTTTATTTAAAACGTTGATATTGAATGAGAACGTTTGCCGGGCCAGGTAGTATATATATATATATATATATATATATATATATACATATATATATATATATTGTGGAGCTTCGAACAAAGAATCCAAAAAGTAATAAAAAACAAAAAAGTTTTTTAATAAACCATTACTTCATTTATTTACTTTATTTTTTTATTTATTTACGTTTCGGAACTAGGTAAGTTCCATCTTCAGGACATCTGTCAAGAAACATGACCTTGATAAGATTCAAGCAAACAATATGTTCAAGAAAAGCAGAAGATGGTGGATTTTTATATAAAATGAATAAAATTGTGGAAAAATGAAAATGATAAAAGTAAAGGAGTGGATTACATAACAAAATACTAGAAATGCTTGAAAATTTGAAAGTATTTTGAAAAAAAAAGAGTTCAAGAGAAACCAGAATTATTTACCTAGTATGTTTGATTAACATTGTATTCACTAAAAAACATTAACATTTTTTCACTAAAAACGATTTCATCAAAAAATGTGATTTTATAAATTTATATGTTTTAATTTTTTTAAAATTTATTTTAGGTTAATTTGCTAAATGATGGCACACATACAGTGTCAAAACATACATGATAATTAGTTGAATTATGTATTGTTTTTATTTCCAATATTTGGATGCAAATAAATATTTCTACTATATGTATATAATATATATATATATATATATATATATATATATATATATATACTAGCTGACCCGGACAAACGTTGTTCAGACATAAAAAATATATCTGTTGATTGATGGCACACATGCAGTGTCGAAACGTACGTGATTCTTATAATTAGTTGAATTATTTAGTGTTTTTAATTCGACTATTTGGATATTGAAAAACATTTTTATTATATATGTATACTAGATGGCCCGACAAACGTTATTCGGCCATAAAAAATTTGATCAGTGCGCCCGAAAACGTGGACAAAAGAATGCGGACATACATAACACACGCAGACACATCCAATTTTTCTGAAGTATGCCAAAATGTTCAGATACCTCTAAAACGTGAAGAAATGTAAAAATTTCCAATTTCGATTTTTGGACGATTACAATAAATGTTTTTAAAAACATTAGTATTTTTTTATTTAGCAAAATGGAATCATATATAATTTATCATATATTATTTATCAAAGGTAAAAAAAATGAAAAAAAAACTGAAAGGTAGTTGCATGTGGTTTCACTAAATTCTGGGTAAACCATAAAAATCAGTAAAAATTTATAAAATTAGCAAACCGGATTTTTTGACAAAAATATAAACATATCCTTTGACAAATTTAAAAAATGCATTAAACCATCAAAACTAGTTCTCCTGGATTTTTCTAAAGTAACACCAAAAATTATCAGAGAAACTTAGAACATATATATATATATATATATATATATATAAATATATAATAAGAAAAACATAATATTGTAATAACAAAAATTCTCTTTTCCAAAACAAAATCAAATAAGTAAAATAGTTTGTTTACATAACTTTAAACAAAAAATCTTCTGATTATTTCACTTATGGGAACAAATTTTATTAATTGAAAATTTATATTTTTTATATTTATTTT